CTATTTTAATGGCGGTCTGTTTTATTGGCGATGCTGGAGTGCCTGGTGAGAACCATGACCTTCGGTAGGAAAACTAACAATCCTAGTCAATCAAGATTGGAGTTTGAACGCACCAGCCATGTGAGGGATTTGAACTCAAAGCCTCAGTGTTGACAGGCTAGTGATACAGTGGTTAAATACTTAGACCACTCAGCCACCGAGGCCTCCAATATAGGTTATAAGATAGAATGAAGTTAACATGAATTCTCAATTTCTCTCCCGATTTATACTTTCCCTGATTTGTTTGATCTAGGTTCTTCATTGGTCAAAATACAGAAAACCCAGATTGCTGTCATTGTTACAGCTCATTCCTTGTTTATGCTTATTATCAGCAACATAGTGAAAACAACACATTAAATTTGGATTCATTATTATCTTCCCCTTGCTACTGTATCATATATATGCTAATACATTTGTATGTGGTTATAATATACTATTGGTTATAATGCTTATAACTTTAATTGTTAGCCAGATGCGCATTTTTAAAAAATATTGGTATTTGTAGATCTGTGAATTCTGCCACACAGCTACGACAGCCCCTGAATAATAATAATAATAATATATAATAAATACTTTATTTAATGAGGGTAAAATCAGTTACTACAATACCTGATGCCCTCTGAATAACTCAAAATATACATATACATAAATACAACTTATCGTACTTTTCGGAAAATAAAACGCACCCCTAAATATTAAAGGTGCACGGCTGTTTTTTGGGGGAAGAAGTGTATTTTTCCTTACATAAAATGCACCTGAATATAAAGCGCACCCTGATGAAAACGTAGTATGCATTCTACTGACCTGGTACTATGCAAAACAAATGGTGAAAAAACATACAGCTTATATGTGTTACGTTTCATGAACATAATTCCTTAATAATGTACAAGACATATCTATGGATTTTTAGACTATAGATAAATTTCTGTGATAATCATTATTTGGTTGGTTTTACATGTTGTTTATGAATCTGATAATTAACTTTTTTTTGTTCTAGAAACAAGAAATTATGATACCTTTGTTTGAACTGTTCTATCTTTTCTATCTTTTTTTATTTCTACAGTATTGGAATATTGAAATGTCTTTTTCATAAAATTTGTTTGCGGACCTTGAGTAAAAAAAAACTGTTTTATACATGTGTGAAAAAGTCCTTTTTCAGATAGTGTTATCTCAACAGACAGGTAATAAAGATATCAATCTGTCAAATATAGAGTCTTGAGTTAACAGTTTATTTACTTTTGTACATATTAGGGATTTAATATCAGGGCTGATATTGACAAATGTAAAATTTACAGCCGATTAAATAGAAATATTGAAGAAAACTTCACAATTTTGTAAGATTTTTGTGCATTCTGAGGTATAGTTAAGGGTACACATAACATATTTTTAGATAGCATTACACAATTTGAGTTTTAAACACAAACAATTGCTCACTTAAACTTTTTTTATCATTGGTTTATAACATATATACAGAGCTTAAGACTTTTGATCAAAATTTGATCATAAGTCTTAAGCTCTGTATATATCAAGAAGATTTACTAGTAGATAAAAGTTAACCATTTGTTCATGTTTTTAATGTATTGAGAATTTATTTTTGTAGTATTAATGTACATTTGTTTATGTTTTGTAAATTAAGCCTTTAGCCCAATAACAGGTGGTGTTAGTTTCATAGTAATTTGAAAAGATATATCAGAAGAATATTTTTTGTTTGGCCAATTTTTTGCACTCTGGGCACAATTGGCTAAGTGAGCTTTTGCTACAACATGGCAATGGTCATGTTTTGTCATCCTCATTAGCTTTTCCAAATACATTCTCATCTGAAACTACTAGGTCAATTTGATACCGATGTTGTCACGTGAATAAAAGTAGATGTAGGGTATACATCAATGATGCCTCAACCCAATGACATGAATATATATATAACCAAAGGACATCTAGACGTCAACATTTGGTCTTCATCAATACACAGGTCAGAATGTTTCTTAGGTTATATGATTGATAAATTATTTCCAGGGTATCTGTCTGCCAATCAACATGGCTGTCAAGTCTAAAAATAGAACTTAAGGGGAAAATGCAATGTCTGCTTTTCTAATATATTAAAATGATCAGAATGTCGAATTCTACTTACTGTACATTTCTACCATGATTATAGAAGTTAATGCCCTTATAACAAAATTGAAAAGTAAACAAATGGAGATTTACAAGTTATTTCATTGGTCGTTTATACAATGATGACTGCTTAGTGAAGAGCCACATACTTCTGGAATGACAATGGTAATGTAGAACAGACTATAATGAAAATGAATTTTACCCAGACCAAATGACTGTGTAATTTGTAGGTAAACAAAATTATTGAGTTATTGATAAATTGTATTGGTGTTTTTCATAGGAATGTATAGAGCAATAAAGCTACTGTAATCTATATTGACATTTTAAGTGGGACTTACAATGAATGAATGCTTTATTATATATAGAGGGTTTTTGGTGGGGAGGGAGATGGAAAAGGGGTGTATGGAGATTGTACAACAAGTGCTACACAACAGCCTTGTTTTGTTGGAAGGTAACAGGAGGGTCTGGAGGGGGGGGAGGTCATTCATTTCTTCATTCTTTAACTTTTTAGACCACTTTTCTCTATTCTTTATCTATTTTGACCATTTTTCTCTATATTTCACCACCCTATTATTTTGCTATTCTATTATTTTTGGCTTATATATTATCTCTATTCTTTATCTTTTTTGCCCTTCATTCTCCACTTATTGCCCATTATTCTCTATTGTCTAAACCCCATCCAGACCCTCTTACCGCGCACAGGAAGACATGTCACCTTACCTAGATACTGTATTCTTACTGAGCAGACCAGTTTTGGCTCTAACTTCTTTGTGTTGTATGCTTAGCAAAGAAGCAGCAATTACCAATTTTATTGCAAGAGATCAAAACTTTTACCTTCTGCACTCCAAGTTGATATCTCATTGATGTTAATCTAATATATCCTTTAAAAATTTCAATATAAGTTAAATTAAGTCTGCTGAATTTATCATTTTGAAATAGATCTTGTTACATATTTTTCATGTCAGGCCTTTTACAGTTAAGTATACTATATGGGTTTTTTCTCATTGTTGAAGGCTGTAGTGTACAGGGGTCTATAATTGCTTACTACTTTCATTTAGACTATGGTGGATAGTTGTCTCATTGGCAATCATACCACATCTCCTTATTTTTATAATTTGCTGTAAGTTATGTTGTATTAACCACCTACACACCCCCAAAACAAACTTAGACATAATGGATTCATGTGAAATGAATTTCACAGCAGGGAAATAGATTACATAATATCTTTGAATGTGATTTAAAACTCATTTGATAAAGTTATGCTTTTGTAAATTGTATGTATAGGCGGAGTTGTTGCAAATAAAATCAGATTGAAATGTAACAATTTTTTTTGTTGTTTTTTTTTTTTTGGCAAAATTGTCTAAATTCTTGGGTTTTTTTTTTTAAGAGAAGTAATCTATATGATTTTTGGTAATTTTACATGCGATTAACAAGAGTTTTTGACAAGAGTTCTATATTAACCCTAAATTGATTTTGTGATTTACGAAAGAAGAATGGGTCTGAGGTGATTTTGTTGTGTTGTGAATATATGATTAAAAGTTTTCTTTTGTTAGAACATATGAATAAGAAATGATTTTACTTTATGAATGATTTAAATACCCTTTCAGCAATTACAGAGAAAATAATGGTTAAGAAAAAAATATTCAAAGTGTAGATAAGAATTCATAAATAATGATTGTTAACAACCACACACAGTAATGGAATGTGCAGGTACTAAAATATAGCCAAACCTGTGCATATAAATCACCCACAGGAGATTTTGTCCAGATTAGACAGGTGTTATTGTACACAGGTTGAATTACTTAAAAATTTTCATTGAATAATATATATTACAAGAGTTCTTTATAGATAGGTTTGGGTAAAAAAAAATTATAGACAGGTTTCACTGTACAATGAAATATTGAAACATGAATTTTAGATTTGTATTAAAATTAACAGTAACAGTTAACAGTCAATTTATCTGTGGTCATATATAGTTCCTCACATACACAAGCTTTCAAATGTTTGATTTTGTGTAATTTTCATTTAACAAATGGCCTTGATGTGGTTCATAAGTGTTTCTCGTTTCTCGTTTTTTATATAGATTAGACCTTTGGTTTTCCTGTTTCAATGGTTTTACACTAGTAATTTTTGGGGCCCTTTATAGCTTGCTGTTCGGTGTGAGCCAAGGCTCCGTGTTGAAGACCGTACTTTGACCTAAAATGGTTTAATTTTATAAATTTTGACTTGGATGGAGAGTTGTCTTATTGGCACTCATACCACATCTTCTTATATCTAATTAAGAATCATCTATGTCTATAAGATATACCGGGGTAGCCAGAATTTGAAAAAAATGAAATGAAATATATTCAATACATCATGTATTATACATGTTTTGGAGTAAGGCTAGGGACTTTAAGATAGAAAGTATTATGAAGAAAAAAAAGTTCTTAAAAGAGTTATTAAAAGTCATAAAAAAAGATTGATATGAGAATTGAAATTATAATAGCAGATACAAAGATCTTACTTTGAAAACAAGACAGAGAGGTCTTAGTAGTTCAACTACTGCATCCCTAGCCTGTCAACACTGAGGATGTGAGTTGAAATGCTGCATGTGGCAGGTGTTGGTTCTGTGGGGGAACTCCAGATTCCTACACCAATAAAAACTTGCTGTCACAAATAGCCAATAGTGTTAAAAGTGGTGTTAAACACCAAAAATCAATCAATCAAAAAGAAGATGGTGCAGAAATTTCAAAAAATTATTTTTAATTTTAAATCCTCATGTCTAGAAGTTATATGAAGAATTTTTAACAGGAAGAATCTTTAATACATGTGATGATTATTTCAGTGTGAAGTAAATTTTTCAATTTCAGATAAAGATTTATTGTCAGATGACCTTGACCCTGATGACACAGATAAAGATGACATGACAATATTGAATGAGATTTTGAATGCTCCGTCTACAGAGGAGGATGAGTTCAGTGCGGAATGGCAGGCTGTGTTTGGAGATGGTAGATCAGCTACTACCATGGCAACCAACCAAGGGAGTGAAACAGAACAGCATGCTGACTTTATGCCTTCAAATTTATTAGACTTGAACAAACAGATGACGGGTATCAATCTTTCACAAGGTATGCCATGCCAGTTTTATATTCTTTCCTTTAAAGATTTTAGTTCTTATTTCTTGATGTTTTTTTAAGAACATTATTGATTGATTGATTAATTGTTGTTTACATAACATCCAGGGGTTAACACTTCATGCATATTCATGACTAGAACAAATAAACAACTAAAAAAATAGGTGTAATCTGCAAAGTGGACTACAGTGAACTATGGTGGAGGACATCAAATTGAGATGGCCACTCTAACAATATCTAATGGATTCATTTTCCCATTAAGCAGGCCATCTACAAACATCTTAGAGTGCTTTTTAACTAGCAGATAGTGTGGTTATTCTCCATACATGAGGCATCAGATTTCAACATCCCCATTCAGACCAAATGTGATTGTGTATTTTTACATCCTGCACAGCCAAACTGAGACCCAACTTTAGCATAAGGCATATTATTGCTGACCATCAAAAGCTAAATACATATGCAAGAAGTGAAATGTTCAAATAGAGACTAGAAAAAAAAATACAGGAGCGACTAACAAAATCTAAATATTTATGCAAGAAGTGAAAATGTTCAAATAGAGACTAGAAAAAAAACAATACAGAAGCAACTAACAAAATCTAAATGGGAAAAATGTAGAACAACTTTGAAAATTCAATGACATCAGAGCAGCGCCAAGTTACATAAATGTGTAAATGGAATGGATAAATATATTTGGGTTATATTCATAAAAAGAATGAAGTTAGATAGATATACATAATTTTTTAAACAATATATAATTTTTAATAATTTTTGATTAATTTGATTCTTATAATTTATTCAGGAGAGCCACAACAAGGCAATAGAGTTATGGGCCCTGGAATGCCAGGGCAGATGCCACCAGGTGGTTCTGGTCAAAATCCTCAACAACCCAAAGCTAAATCACAGAAAAAGAAGGTTTGTTATATTCTTTCTTCTTTCCTTGAAGAGTTATGAAACTTTGAAGGAAAATGACCTTTCAAATTTTATGCAATTGCTTCCTTGCTTTCACTCTTCATGTGAACTATTTACATGTCTTTACATACAACACTGAAATAAAACAACAATGGTTGTCCTTTCCTCAAAGCTTTCATGCTTTTTGATTGAAATGTTATTAGATTAATTGATCAACATTTAATTCATAATGATTATATTACATATATGTTTCGTAAGAATCCTCACTTTTTGATTGGCTGAAAGCAATCGCGAGGCATTCCAAAATTGAATTGTATTTCTCTATGAAATTCACATTCATGACGATATATCTACAATGCATAAGAAAACAAAGAAAATCTTGATATAACTCATGATTACATATATAGTTGTAGCATATAAATATACAATATTAGGTCAATGTCAGAAAAATATAAACATTTTTTGTTTGAGGCTAAGAAACTGGGGAAAGGCGAGGTTGTACTGAGTCCCTCCCCAGTTTTGTGCCAAATACAAAAAAGTTTTATATTTTTCTGACATTGACCTAAAATTGTTTTTATACTGCAACTTAAATTAATACATTGATAGCTATTTAAATTGTAACACAAATTTCAAACTTATTTTCATCCCTTAATGAACCGGATTGTGGAGAAAGTGATCCAAGATGAAATTGGCATTGCACAAAATATAGCTGTGTTACTATATTTAGGAAATAAACACAACTAGTTGCAGTATAAATCTAGTTATGAGAGTTAATATGAAGCTTGTTTTTTTTTTTTATTTTATAGGGTTGTAAAAGCATTGATCATGCACACAGTTTAAATATGTAGCACAGAATACAAAATGTGCTTCGATCAATGCTTTTACACCCCAATAAAATTACAAAAAAGAAACAGTCAATTCAATTGAATAAAAGTGGATGTGGAATAGCATGGTCAGGCAGACATCTAACAATGAAAGGACATATGAGCATCAATAAGAAACCAACTGACTGCACTGAGTATGATTGATTGATTGTTGTATTTTACACCACCTTCAGAAATAATTGCTATGTAGGGGGTGGTCAGTTTTTATTGATGGAGGAAGCCAGAGAGAACTACTTGTATGCGACAGGAAACTGGCTATCCTAGTCAATTAAGACTGGAGTCGAATGAACTTGCTACATGCAGGGATTGAGTTCACAACCTCAGTGTTGAAAAGCTTTGCAATACAGTAGTTGAACTACTTAGACCACTCTGCTACCGAAGCTCCCTGCATTCAGTTAGACAGCAAGGTAACAAGAAAAGCATGCATCAACAATGTTGTCATGTTAGAGACGTCTATATGAATGGTAATGTTGAATATATTTATATATAATCTATTATAATCTTGATATCTTTTTTAACAGGGGCAAGACATGTCAGCCTGGTTCAATCTTTTTGCTGATCTTGATCCATTATCAAATCCTGATGCCATTGGAAAGACTGAAGAAGATATGTCCAATGCCCAGTTCTAGGATCTGACTAACGACCAGTTGTAAGATCTGATTAATGACAAATTTGAGGATCTGACAGAATGTTTTTTTAATGTGCAATTATAATTGAAATCCTGTTGTTACATATTTTCAAGAGAATGTTTTCAAGTAGGTTGAAGAACTGTATTTTTTATTGTAATTTTCTACTGGTTATTAATAAAATGTGACATCTTTTTATTCAGAAAAAGACAAAGTCCGCATTCCATGAAAAAATATCAAAATACTTTTCCTTAAACATTATTCTCCCAAACATTTATATGTTAGAAATATTTCTCTCTCAAGTTACTTTTGGTTATTCAATTTATGCAAAATTTATATAATGAGAGTATGCATGTCGGTGAAAAAATATAAAAATCAACCATTTTCTTGTCAAAATTGAATATTGGATGCTCCACTTCAATTTTTTTAAAGATGGCTCCAGGATAGAACATAGAGGGCGTAGGCCCCCCTTTTTGATCGGCGAAGCAAAAAAAAAACAACATGGTTCTCCTGATTTATATGAATAATGGTTCAAAAAAGTTTTCAGTAATTATTACCTTTTCTAGAATAATTTCCCCCCTATTCAAAAATCCTGGATCAGTCCTTGAATGTTGACTTAGTCTATTTTTTCAAGTAGCACATGCCACCTATTTTAGGATTACATTCTTAGTTTCTTTTAATATAATTGTACAGGACAGACCTGGTTCATAAAGATCTATAAACTAGAAAATAACTAAAAATTCAAAATAAATGATTTTTGATATTAATAGATAGCATTAAACTATGATTTAGGTTTCACATATTAACCTTGAAATTAACACTTTTAATATCTGTCAGTCTGTTGTGGATTCATTATTATTTGTCGGGTGTCTGCCAATTTCATGGATTTCATGGATAGAGGCAAACCACTAATTAAAAAAAAAAAACGTTCAACAGAAGTATATAAAGTTTCCAATAGACTTGAAAATGGAAACTTTGGCAAAACCACGAAATCAAATATCTAGGAATATACGAATATATTTCAATCCATGAAAAAATTGGTACCCATGACAATAAATGAATCCACATTATTTATTTGTATATTTATTAATTTTGCAATCCATGATTTAGTTATTAAAGTAGTGTGTTAACAAATTTTCTGACATTGACATAAAAATAAAATGATGTAGATGTCTTTTACCAGTATAGATCTGAAATAACTTGAATGAATCTGTATTTTTGTCATAATACCACAATCTGTCTCTCATTTGATCTTATTTTGTTAATGCGAATTTTTCAGGGTTTTTAAAACAGAAACATGGCCTATTTGCATATTGTATTTATTTTTCTGCAGTATTTTTCATAACTAATAAAAACTTAGCTATGCTAATCTTTGCCTGAATACACCAGAGGAAATTTAGTAGTAAGATTTGGATACATTCAAAATATTTACTCATATATAATTGCAAAATAGTTGAGGAATAAAAAAAATTCACTCCTTACATTTTCATATTTATAATTTATGTCATGCACAGTTTTCATTTTGCAAATCCCCACAAATTATTTTAATTATCCTTAAATAATTCTTGATTGAAATTAGAATTGAGCTTTCTTGACTCTTCAAAAAATGCCATAAAATGCAAAAGATTTTTTTTCATGGTCATTATATTTGTGTTTATAGATTTACATGTTTGTATGACTTTGATGTTGACTACGCATTTAAAGGAAATACTGATTTATTTAATGAATGGCTATTATTTATTTTGAATTTATTGAACCATAAAATTAATTTTTGACTCTTGACCTTGAATAATCCGCGAAGCTGATTATGTAAAATGTGAAGAGTCAAAAATTAATTTTATGGTTCAACGAATTCAAAATAAATTATTGTCATTCATTATAAATAAATTTCTATCAAAAATAAGACTCAAAGAGCTTTTTATAATATTTATATTAACAATAACAACGTACACACATGTTGGCGTATGAATACACAACGTCAGAGGGGGCGTGTCGCCATAAAAATTGACAACATTGAAAATAAAGGTAATACTTTTAACCAATCAGAAGACAGTAAATACACCAAATTTATTTATATTGTTATAATAAGTTACGTTTAAAAGTACCATTCAAAGTTCCTTAAGTGACAAACTTTACTTGATTGTACACCTGGCCACTTCTTGTCATGGTATGATTTTTGGCCACTATCTCTTGTAGTAAGATTTTAACATTAGCCACTACCTCTTGTGGTAAGATTTAACTTTAGCCACTAGCTCTTGTGGTAACATTTAACTTTAACAACTAGCTCTTGTGGTAAGTTTTAACTTTAACAACTAGCTCTTGTGGTAAGATATAACTTTAACCAATAGCTCTTGTGGTAAGATTTAACTTTAACAACTAGCTCCTGTGGTAAGATATAACTTTAACCCACTAGCTATTGTGGTTAGATTTAACTTTAACAACTAGCTCTTGTGGTAAGATTTAACTTTAACAACTAGCTCTTGTGGTAAGATATAACTTTAACCACTAGCTCTTGTGGTAAGATATAACTTTAACCACTAGCTCTTGTGGTAAGCTAAAACTTTTACCACTAGCTCTTGTGGTCAGATATAACTTTAACCACTAGCTCTTGTGGTAAGATTTGAATTCAGCCACTAGCTCTTGTGGTAAGCTTTAACAAGTTCTTGTTGAATTTTTAATTAAGAGGTTCTCTTTTAAAGGAGCTTGGTAAATTTTACTACATATAATAATGAAAAGCTATTCATTAAATAATTAAGTTTCAATGGTATTATTAAACTTTGTACATAAACCATGAGAACTGCCAGTAGTGATGAAATATGTGCAAAATTGTTGATTTTCTTAAAATTTTGATACTATTATTAATTAAATTATTTCCCATGACTCTTCTGGTTTGAATTATCTACTTGTTATACAATTAATTTATACATTCATAAAAAACATATCTGACAACCAGGCATGGGGCGAATTACATTGCAATGTAATGCATTATATTACAATTACTTTGACCAAACCATGCATTATATTACAATTACAATTACATGCATTTATCAAAGTAATGCATTATATTACAATTACTTTTGCAAAGTAATGCCTTGAATTACACATTACATTTGAAAATTTTATTAAGTGAATAGAAAAATTAAACATCTTGAAAAAAAGTAGAAGTCACAAAAGATTCTAGCATATGCAGCAACTGTTCCATGAATTGAATATAAGTATACATTTAAAATTTCTATTTAATTCGGCTTTTACAATTTTAATTTAATGTTGACTTTACTTTTATAAATAAACTCTATGTTGATTTTTTTTTATTTTAAACGAAATATTTAATTACTGTGAATTACTTCCCTAATTATCAAATAAACATAGACCTTAATTAATGAACAATTGTCTAAATGGTGAAAATATTGATTGTAAAACAAACTAATTAGTGTTTTATAACAAAGTTTAATTATATCTTATTTAAGCAAGACAAGATATTCTTTGATCTTATGACAACAATACAGTTATGCTTTTCAAATATCAATCTTTTTTTTTTTATGCAGGAAAATGTATGAAATAAGATGAAATAAAGAATATATTCTCATGATTAACATATTCTTAGTTAATCAAGAAATCTTAAATTTGGTTTAGTTAAAACTCCAACAATATGTTAAAGATGTGGTATGTGAAAAAAGTAATGACATGTAATGCCATGTAATGCATGAAATTACACAACTTTTTGCCAAAGTAATGCATTATATTACAATTACATGTAATGCACAAATTGCTGCATTACACATTACATACAATTACTTGGAAAAATGTAATGCATTACCATGCATTACAATTACAAATTTGCATTACCCCATGCCTGCTGACAACACATTCTACTACTTCATGGTGAATATACCACTTTTAGCAAACCTCAATCAGTATACATTTTACATTTTACTGTACAGTTTTTCATTCATTTCACCTCATACATTTCTGCTGAAGGTTTTTCTGATGCTCATAAATGAAAAACAATCGCCTTTCCATATTTGCCATTAAAGGGGCATTAGCTGTCAAATTCATCTTCACCGATTTGACTCGAATTCTCATATTTTATTTATAGTATTCTAAAATGAATATCCAAATTACTTAAATAAACAATTAACAATGCATGGACTGGATAATATGTATGAACATATGTCGTGTGTATTGTAGTCTAGACACTATCTATTTAACCATCATGATGACCTCCAATGACTGCTGACTGTCATATAACCTGATATAAACATAAATATGAACAGACAGCTAACATGTGCAATTGGATTTTCTAGGTCTGTTTGATTTCATATTATAGGTTAAAAAATATGTTAATCATTATTTTTACCTTTATAAGAATTTTACCTTTATCAATACTTGAAACAAAAAGAATCATATTTGAAATTTTTGTCTAAATCCTAGCTAATGCCCCTTTAATGCAAAGTATTACACATCTTCTGCTCAATGAGTACACATTCATGATACTTGCTATATTCAAATTATACCCCCTCCCCTTTTTTCCACACTTAATAGTGCATTCATCTTGGCTGTCTGTTATCATAACAAGTATTTTTATCAAACTTTTCTCAGGAACTACTGAATGGAATGACTTGCAACTTTTTAACACTATTCAGATCTGTCAGGCACCTACTTCCTGTTTTCTGTTTTCTGATATTTTTAACTGACTTTATGACTGATTTAATGACTGAACTTTATGTTTTCACAACACATTTCTCCAGTAGTATTGAACAGAATGACTTCATAATTGGTCAGTAGCTTTACAATGATGATTTGTAAGGTGGACATGCATTTAGGTCCTTATTCAGTCATATAGCTCAACTGTTTTGGTTCTTATACATCCTTGGCTTTCAAATATTTGTCTTTGAGTGTTTCTGATGAAGGTAAATCCAGAAAAGCGCTTCAGACACATGAAAGTTATAGTTTTTTTTGTTTTTTTTCACACATAAACAAATACTTCCAGTTTTCCAATACTTTGAATTATAAGTGTATGTGTGCTAAGCACATTATAACTTCTCGTTCCAGTAGGGGGCACTGTTAAGAAATCACAGTAAACCATCTTCCATGTCTGTACATCTACATCATGTCATGGCATTAACTATATGATCTGCTTGTTAATTTATATGTTTTGTTTTATGTATTATACTTTCCATGTTAAATGGTTTATTTTTTGTTTTGTCTTATACATTCCTTGTTTTGTGATTTGGTTTATGTTTTTGTTAACTTTATTTGTGGTCATAAGATATTTTTTCTAAGACTAATTTATGTACTTGTTAATTTTATTTATTTGTGGTCATAAGATATTATTAAATATTAACATATAACATTTCTCTTTCATTTGCTGATGTGTTTTCTGAGAGATCTGTAATGTATAAATGTCTTTTTATTTAATAAGATGTTTTTGTTAAGCCATGGGGTATTTACACTATTTCAGAGGCATTAAATATCATTTGTTGTTCTGTATTGTGAAGTGTAAGCAGGCTTTGGAATTCAGATCTAATGTAAGAAAAAAATATACATTGAATTTATATGTACAGTTTTCATTACATGTATTAACTTACAACTAGCAACTTGAAAACTATATTACCTGCCTACATCAAAACACGTAGTTTCGGAAAATATCACCTTTTAAATACTCTAAATTCAGAAATTACTGCGACTGTTTGATTAATGTGAAAAATTCCACAGTATCAGGGTCACAATAATAAATAATTGCATTCATAATTGCAGTTGTAATTTTCCTTCATAAAAGTTTTGCAATCACATTAATTAGATTTTGCACTTTTGCAAATACTCAATGATACGCTAAAATAAATGCACGCATCAATTTCTGAACTTACAGTAATTCAAGACTATGTCATGTAGTGTTGTTTCAATAAAATAACTTCTTTTTTTTTCCTGGTATATTTTCATGAAGAGAAATCAAATCTAGCAAACAGAATGCTTTCTGATATAGTAAACATTGATATTTGATTAAACATCTTATTGAATAAGAATGTTCTAACTGTGAATGAGGGATAATTGGGGGAGAAATTGAAGTATGATCTTAACTGTTGTTGCTATATATATTATACAAAGACAAAATAAAGTTGATTAATGTATATTTAGAATTCATTTATTCCACACAGATTTACCTTTACTTATATTCAGAAATAAATAAAGTCAAGGGAACCAACACCTTCAGGCAGCACAAGCTGGAAGAGAAATCAGGATGGATACTGAAGAATGCTGTGGTTGTCTTAAAACCTCATAAATCCAAACTATAAAAAGACAACAACATCCTTGTTATGGCAAGGAAATTATTTTATAGTGGTCGACATGTTTCGCCATTTAGAAAGTACACATTGTCATATTGATAGCTTATATTGGTCTGTCAACACTGAGGTTATGAGTTCAAACCTTGCAGGTGCATTCAACTTTAATCTTGATTTACTAGGATTGTTAGTTTTTCGCCCGAGGGACAGTGGTTCTCCCTGTGCACTAAGGCGTCCTCCACCAATGAAAACTGACCGCTACTAAACGCACAATAGTGTTTAAAATGGCGCGTTAAATACCAACAATCAATCAATCATCATTATATTACCTCTTAGCAATAACAATAACAATACTTTATTCTCTAAAAAACCAATACAATCAAAGGTACAGAGAATGACATGCAAAAACATTATACAAATAATACATAGTATGGTAGAGGTGAGTTAACATTGGTGTAGTAGGAGATACAATATGAAAAAAAAACAAACAACATTGTAGTGTGGTTTAGCCAGGAGAACGGATTTTCTCGTTGATTATTTTGATTAGTTTACAGTCTTTTAAAAAGAGAATTTTCTTTGTGTTAAAAAGTTTCTCAAGTTTTATTACATTTGAGTGACATGAAAAATATTTCAGTGCAAGACATTCCAAAATATAATGATATTTGTCTCCTATCTCTGATCTGTTGCAAAGTGTGCATTTTCTCTCTGATATTTCTACATTTGTCATTCGACCTCTTTCGGTTGGTAAATAATGATATAGTGTCCTAAATTTACAAAAAGTTATAACATGTTGATTTGGAAGTATTTGTTAATAATCTTCAAATGTTAAATCTTTCTTGAAGATTTTATAATTCAAACATTTTGGCGTATAGCACTGGTCTATTTTTTCTGTTTGTGTGATATTTGTATTTATTATATACTTAGTAGTAAATGCAGGTAAACTATATGTGTAATACAATCAATGACAATCGTGCTGTATCAACCATCCATGATCATATCAATATCAGTCAAGGTTACATGAGCTTTATCAAACCTCTAAAACTCTATGATATCACGTCATCATTGTAAAGGCTTTTTCAAACCCCTAATCTGAATTACATCATCTCACATGAAAAAAACATCTACTTGAAGTATATAATAAAGTGTATATGATGTAGCTTTTTCAATATCACACCCCCGTATCAACCCTCAACCAATATAATCCCTCGCGCAGAGCTATTGGGATTACATTGGTGTCTCGGTTTGATTGGGGTGTGATATTGAAAATGCCATTTGATATTTGTATTTACTCTGATATGATCAACCAATGAAATTGTAGATTTTTCTTAAGAGTTCCTGTGGAAGCATTATAATTGGTGGGGTACCAGTTTTTGTGGATTACCTGGTTACCTGCAATTTAAATGTCCAACAAAGTACAAATTTCATGAATGCATGTATGCAGTATTTGTCAAAAAAACAAATTTAAAGGGGCACTAGCTACGAGATATATAAAAAAATTTAAATTATGATTTTTCTGTTCAATCATTAATGAAAGTGAAATAGTGAAATAATAATTCACTTTTAGCAGGCAGTATGGTTCAATTTTGTCAAAATAAGCTAAGAAACATCGATGATGAACTATTCACTTGCAAGTGAATAATTCGACCTCATTGAATCCGTATTCATGTGAACTCCAATTTAACCCCTTAGCTAAAGATGGATTAAGCATGATTTATGTGTGTTCCATTATTAAAAGAAAAGAATGTCAACATTGAAAGTGAAACAAAGGTAAATCATTTGATTGACCAATTCGATCCACAAAAAACATTCTTATACAGGTAAAATCGAAAATTAACTTATTTTTTTTAACCTATAACATGAAATCAAACAGACATAGAAAAATCCAATTACACGAGGTCGCTATCTTTTTATATTTATGTTTATGTTTATATTGTGTTATGTGACCGTCAGTAGTTTTCGGAGGTCATCTCGATAGTTAATTAGATGGCGTCTAGACTAAAATACACAAGAAATTCTGATATATATTATCTAGTATATGCATTGTTAACTGTTTATTTAAGACTTATTATAATTTGGATATATGTTTTAGTATGTTATAAATCAAATATGAGAATTTGAGTCAAATGGGTGAACATGATTTTGACAGCTAATGCCCCTTTAAGTGTCCTCGAAAATACAAGTTTTTTTCCATCCGCAAAAAAATTAAATGAATCAAAAGTGCACCAAAGTTGCGAATCTAAGTGGTTGTTTTTTTCTGTTTTTATATAAAAAAAGAATATTGTATGATTGTTGATGAACCAACTATTAACAATAGCATAATAAACTGTTGACACAGAGATATATTTCGGCTGTCAGCAGAAAATTGAAATCTGATGGACAGCAGCATAATTAATTCAAAAGCACTGGACCATGAACTATGGAGCAGGGCCTCGAAATAGTTGTCCATCTGATATGTATTGATAGTAATACAACTTTATAGAAAATATCATTGACCTATAGCAAGTAGTTCATATCAAACTAATTTAAGCAGAAAACTTAACATTGGAAATTGCTTATTAATTGAACTGCTAGACTAATTGCCTAGGGGCAAGTGCCTCAAAATAGGCATCAAACTGATATGTGCAACTTTATACAAAACATCATTGATCTATCACCAGTAGTTCCTATCAAACTAACTTAAGCAGAAAACTTAACCATTGTCGACACCTCTGAAGCTGAGCCACTGGAAAAGCAACACCTATGTCTCACTTTCTATGACTTTTGTCGAAGGCCTGACAAAAAAGAAAAAATTTATAAACAATTTTGAGTTTTTTGTCTTTTCTATGAGTTTTAAATTCTAACATCTGATCTTGGGTCATCTGGGTGGTTATCGTTAAAGATTGCATATTGAATAATTTAGAAACTTGCTATGTTGGAGATTGTCCGTTTTTAAAAATTCAATGGAGACCTTTAGATGTCGTTTTGTCTCCCCTGTAATTAAGATGCACCTTGTTTGCATGGACTAAGGTGTGCTTTTAGGATAGGCAAAGGGGGGCTTTGTGTAGATGTTAAATTGGTTTAACCCGCAATATTTTTTACTGTACCAAGTAAGTCAGGCTATCTGGACCATGTGTTGTTCATTGAATGTACTTACTTGTTTGTAGGTCTATTTTTGGAGAAGTTCAGTGTTGGTAGTTTGTCTGGTCTGTTTAACTATCCAATATTTTAGTATATCGTGTTAATAACACTTTTATAACGAACAACCAAAACATAAGACTCTATAACTTTATTAAAATTTTATTCATGATAAAATTTGATGGTTTTATATAGAAATAAAAAGATCATCCTAAAACAGTTAATAAAGAATTTCTAAATATAGAACAAACACATCTAAATATAGAACAATAAATGTCTAACGATAATATAAACTCTGATATGTAATAATGAATTTGTTAAAGCATTTAATGAAATTTTATTGTAAAGAATACATAATGCTTGTCAGTTTGGCATAAAATGAAACTGAAAATAGTCTGATAATAAATGAAAATTGAAAGTATACAAAACTGGTCCCTTTTTCAACATAAGAATGTTATGAAAAAGTTATACAAATTGGAATAATTGGAAAGTTAAAAGAATATTGAAAAAAAACACTTCTCCTTGTTTTTTGTAAATAGAGGAGAAATTTATAAAAAAAAAAGGAATACTTTGAAGTTTAAAGACTCTCACATTCATAACTAGGCTTCCTTCACCAATAATCAATATTTCATTGATTTTTGGTGAAATTCTGCAAGTAAAAAATTGCAATTCAAAACTTTTACCTGCAAAACATCCTGCAGGAACAAAACCAAAAATGTGGAATTTAAAAAAAAATCTGAGGTTCAGCAGATCAAATCTTAATTTTACTTGATATCTTGAGTTAGCAATGAGATTTAAAATAATGTCACGAGTTCTGTAGAACTGTATGTCTTGTCTGCTGTTGCTGTGGACAGTCAAATTTTAAAAATCTATTTAAGTTTTGATATTTTGTTAAATTGTTCATTTTACCAATATAAGTAAGTCTTAACCAATTACGGTAGTTTGTTTTAAAAAATTTAATGAAAAAAGTCCAGGATTATAAGTAAAAGTATTGAAGATTTTAAAACTATGGAGTGAAGTGAGCTCACAAAAAGATTGCAAATTTGATTATCTCTCCTTATAACATGTAAGGCCAATATTAAATTCCTTTCTGCATATCTCAGGTAGTGTTCTACAGCTGTGTATGGTTTTATCAATACCTGTCTAGCAATTTAGGAATAGTTGCCCTTACAAGAGACTTACAACATATTTACTGATATCCGTCTGTGTAGAACTGTGGAAACCAAGATTTTCTTTGAAATTGTTCCATATATTTTGCTTTTGTCCTTTCAAGAAGTTTAGCAGGGGTTGGTTGCACTTAGAAGTCACATGGACAGAGAGCCAGACACATAGACAAGGTATAGACAAGGTGATTCCTATATATACCCCTCCAAAACATTTTTTTACAGAGTATTAAATATATTGCAGTAGATACTCTCTGTTGATCACAAAAAGGTTCTATCCAATTTTTCAATAATTCAATTAAATCATTTAATGAATGTATTAAAGTTGGAAATATATGAAGACAAAATCACTAATTTGCATAATGGAGGTAAAAAATGCAAACTTAAATAAACGTACAAAATATTTTTATTTTAATCCCAGTAGCTTAAACATTTCTATATGGGAAAAAAATCAGGGACTCATTTGTATTTTTGTTCACTATTCAAGTTCATAGCAAAGGGAAAATACTCTTTTCGAAAATCTTGAATCTCATACTGGGAAGCCATCTTTATTTACATCCTGCTGATTTACAATAAAGGAGACAGTAAATATAAAAATTTGTTCGTCTGCAAGTAACATTATTACACAAAATTAAAGGCACTTTAAATAGTAAGGCACACAAATTCAGGAGCTCTATAACATATTGGTTTACTTTTCAAGTTAGGGCTGTTCCAGAATTAAACGCATGGAAGGCACTTTTTTAAGACCCTGATAACCCCTAAAATCGAAATTTACAATTTACTTATAATTCTTATAAAATTCTAAGGAGAATGAGACTACCCATTTTGTATTTAATTTGAGTGCCTCCCACTCATCCCCCCAATAAATTTTGGAACAGTCCTTAGCATCAAAAGGTAGTAAAAATATACATTTTTCAAAAATCTTGTACACAATTTTTCTTTTCACCCTTCAGTAGTCTGCCATAAAGTGACAATAAAAGTTTGTCAACAAGAAGTAGTATCAGTTTTATACAAAATAAAAAGGCACTTCAAATAGTAAGGCACAAAATTGTTGTAAAATTCTTATCTGTACCTCACAAATAAAAGGTAATATAATAACCATATTTTATTTTTAAAATAATGCAATAAGAATAAAACATTTAGACATTAACACGACATGTATTGTATTTCTTCTAAATAAAAATCCTTCATACCTAACATGCCTATGCTTTGACTTTATTATCGAATGATTTAGTTTCTAATAAATACCCCTTCTAGTCGCCTCATTTTACAGAGACAATAATAAACATCAAATGGTCAATTTTTTTTTAATAAACCTCATGAAAAATTTCAAATCTTATATTTTTACTAAAAAAAATTTGATAAATAAAAGTATTTTGAATATGGTTTCTTAAGAAACACTTAATTTTTCAAAATTAAAAATGTCCTGTTGCATTTTATCAAAAGGTCAGTTAGTAGACTTGTTGCATTTTATCAAAAGGTCAGTTAGTAGACTTAACTACAAATTATTACAATAACAATAATAAGGCACATTTTTTATATAATTAGTACAAAAATTTTAGCAACAAATAGTTTTAGTTTTATATTTCAAAAATAAACTTAACCTCTAAACATAACCATAAATAAGTTATTGCAACAAAGAAAATGAACCATAATGTTCAATTATTACTTGACAAAAAAAAATGCATCATTAAAACTTTTGAAATTTTTATTTTCATTTTTTAATTAAAATAGATGTTGCTAAACTTTTTTTACACAGTATATAATCAGTATTCAATATATCATTTCATAAAAACTCTGTAAACAAATATATAAAAAACTATATCCTGATAAAAGAGTTGTCTAACCAAAATTTGCTAAAATGCTTGTTTAAAAATGTATTTTAGAACTAAATTTTTTGGAGAGAATTAAATATCTCAAGATTTTTACACTTCAAATATATGGGGATTGGCAAAAAGGAATTTTAAACTGTATAAAAATGTAACAGCAATTATTGCATAGGTAATGAAACCTTTCCCAAGAAACGGTTGGTCTTTACCTGGCTATTTAAATTTTTGCAAAGAGAACTTCATTGAACACCAACAGTTTCTGGGGAATTGTTTTATTTTCTTTGCAATAAAAACTGTTTGACAGATATATTATAAAGATGCATGGTTTTTAAAATATTTTGAGAAATACAGAGGTTGCCGGGAAAAAATGTTTTTAAATTCATTTCCTAGGGAAAAAACATAGAGAAGTTATAAATAAAATTAGTAAACGTCCTTCATTGTCATATAAAAATGATTGTACCATGTAAATGTGAGTATAAAACTTCCAAGAAGGCTCCTCTCTAGTAATGATTGCAACCAATCTGGTTAAACTACAGATCATGTGACCGCGCTTTGCTAAGAAAGATCTGACATCGCTCTGTTCTACTTTCTGTTTTAAAGACCTTTCGAGATCCTCTGGTTTTATCGTTATAATACACAATTTAAAAAATTGAAGGCCAGAATTTCATTGGCTGATGTAATAATTACCAGAACAGACAGAACAGTGAAGTCAGATCCTTGTTAGCAAAATGTGGAGACAGGATCTGAATATTTAATGAGATTGGATTGCAAGAAGACATCAAATCTGTCCTCCTGGAAAATAGTTCACCAGAACCAGCACTTTGACAGACCTGTTGAATAGCTAAATGAAAGACATTGTCTTTGCTTTTCTTTTTTTTTCATATTTCTCAATTATTCCTTAGGATGGAAACACTTCAAAAGAAATATTGCAAAGTGATAAAATGATAAATTCTCCTGCTAAATATAAAATCATTGATGAAGCATGGCTAATTTTCCTGCTGGATGTATAAACTGATGAAAAATTATAAATTTTTCTGCTTGGTACTGGCATATAAGTTCTGATGAAAAATATTTAATTTTCCTACTGGTTAACTTTTAACAAAAATATCATTTTTCTAGCTGGAAAATTTTGATCAGAAATGGTAATTTTTCCTGCTTAATAAACTTTGATGAAAAATAAACAATATTTCTGCTGGATTAATTTGTTGAAAAAGAAAATATTTGAAATACCTGACTTTACTCTTTCATTGACATACAAATAGACATTAGGAGATAAAGTCCTCCATTTTTCCTGTTATAAATAATGAGTCCAGTTAAAATGAATAAACAATACACATAATTACGTATACACAATTAAGTATAAGTTACACACACATTGAACACATAGTTATATTCATAATTAATACTAATGCTTCTAAAAGCAAAATTGTTAAACGTTTTTATGTATAAAACATGAATGGACATGTAGCAACCTTTTAAAATCATTGTTAAAAATATGTAATATTTATGCATGATATTATAATGACCACATAATGTTCATTCTAATATATTTTTGCAATGTTAATTCTGATTGGACAATGTTGAAAACTTCAATACATCAATAATGTAATAGATGTTTACATTTGCTGTCGTATAAGAATCTCTTTCTAGTTATGATACATTTTCTCAACTGTTTTTACATTTTTTTGCATTTTAAAAAAAAGTACAATATACCTTTTTTTAATTAAATGCATCAATTTAAAATTTGATGTTGGTTGAGCAAATGCATAGCCACTACACTCAATCACCAACAATCAACTCAACAACAGATGTCAGCAAATATTTATCTCCTAAACAATGGTTTTCACCAAAGATCTTTTAAATCCAACAAAATCTATATCCATTTAAGGATGTAGTTAGGTGAAATTAAAAAAATCTAGAATTTAAAATTGATACTATAAGTCAGAAGAGCGTTAGTAAAGGAACAAAATATGCTATAAATGTTGATAGGTTATGGAGCTCCATTTCATGATATCTAATCAAAAAAAAAAAAGCAGGAAAAGGCTGACTCGGACTTTTACCTTGTATTTGCATTGGTATTATTTGTGTCTCAAATCGAAATAAAGGAAATATAGAATCTGCTTAAATTTTGGTAATTGATCTTTTATGAGCTATTGAAGTCTTATATGAATAGAAAAATGGGTGTTATGGGGCAAAATATATTACCCTGTATCGTAGGAAAAAAACCAAGGAGTCCGAACATTTAACAAAAATTCTTAAACCTCACCTAAGTACATCCTTAAGTAAAAATATAAATTCCTTTATATAATACTAAGCAGCAACCTTTTACAACCTTTAATTATGTCAAAATTGACGAGCATTCAAATGTGAAAATTAATATTCGCTTAATTTCTAATATATCTTAGGGTATAAATAAACTAAACTCTCCATAGATATTAGGATTAAAATTTTGTATGCCAGACACACGTTTTGTATACAAAAAAACTCATCAGTGACGCTCGAATCAAAAAACTTTAAAAGGCCATTTGAAGTTCGAAGTTGAAGAGCATTGGGGACTCAAAATTCCAAAAGGCTAAAACCATAAATTTTGATGGCCTCATTTCTGTCCATGTTAAATGCTACAATTTCCAGCATTCTAAGCCATTTTTTCTTAAGTTTATATATAGAAGTGACAGTCATTTCATCTCAGAATAATACCTTTGCCTAGCTTGTACTAAAAAAATCATCATAACTTTAATAAAAGTGTACTGGTCTCCAGAAAGAAAGAAGGACACAAATAGGTACATCTGTTCTAAGAAACAGGAAAAGTATGCCGGTTAATTTCAATTTCATGCATTATTTATCTTTCAAAATAATCATTCAACAGTGATCCCAGGTCACATACAAACATTATCCAAATATTTAACATATTTTGAAAGTTACCGCTATGTGTAGTATCTATTTTGCTTAGATATGTTCTACTTTTATTATGTTCTTCCTGAACAGGCCCAGTCTAGTTGTTCCTTACCTTAAGGGGTTAAGTAGTCTCCCTTTAATATTTTCCTTATCTGTTACAAATTTATAATTAAACTCTTTAGATTAAAAGACTTGGAAATCACGTTTACACCATGAGCAAACTAGACTAAAAGCCTTGGAAATCCAGTCTACACCATGAGCAAACTGTAAATAACCGAAATAAAATGGAATGTAAACTATATGTAAGATAGATATATCCTCCAATAAAAAATAGGGCAAAAAAATATTAAATACAGAATGAGAATTATGATTAAACACTTATTGAAAGACACTCATTATCCTACCGCTTTGTCCAACTTGTTAACAAAATAATACTAAGATTATATTGCAAAATGTTTTTGTCATTCATATAAAACAAATGTTGTGCTGATGACCTTTGACCTGTCGTCACTGTAACCCTGTTTACTTTAAAAACAATTTTCTTGGAAGACAAAATGCATCTATGACCATGTGTATTTTACATTTTGATGTTTTCTGAGATATTAAAATGAACAATTAATGAAGTTATATCCTGTAAATAAGGATGTAGACGGCTCATTTTTAAAAAAGCAAGCATTTTAAAATACTTTTATAAATTTATAGTATAGAAATAACGGAACTAAAAGTATTCATATTTCAGTAAAACAGCTGCTTTTTAGAGGCAATAAATTTTTTTTTAGTACATACAGTTGGTTGTAAATAGTTTTAACAATATTTTTTTTTCAAAAGTTTATATGAAAATTTTTAAAAACATATGGAACCAAAGACAGATACATGGAAATGAGATCTCTCTTATCAGACTGTATAAATCAATACAAATAAAAGAACTAAAATGATTTATATTTAAATAACACAGCCAATAAAAATTTTGTTAGTACATGTTGGTTGCTGATAATTTTCAAAATATTTTTTTCTTCAAAAATGTAAAAAAAAAAAAAACATACAGAACTAAAGACTGATACATTGAAATTATTTTTTGGTCCGTCTTATCCATACAATATATATTTGTTCTGTAAATGTTCCATTAGACTTTTGATTCTCTTTCTGTATCCATGTAATCATAGCTTTGTATTGTTGGCAATGGGCGGATTCCATGTTGTCGTATAATGCTACCAGCAGGTTTGAGTTTAAAGTTCCCAGCATGCCTTATTTTGTTTTTGTCTTCATCTAATATGAACACATTATTCTGAAAAATAAATTAAATATATTCAGTGTTCAAACAACAAATAATTATACGGTTGTGGTTTTTTTTAAATAAATTTTTCAGTTTTCATATCATTTCATGCATACTGTGAAAAGTATATATATTAAAAAAAAATGGACAAAACCGACCAATTTTTGACAGGTCTTCTTCAAGAGCTTCTAGCATGATTTGAGACTATCTGTGACTTGAAAAATGGTTAAAAAAAATTACCTACTGAGTTACATTTCATGAATTGTGTAGGTATAGGTAAGCCACAAATTTAATTGTTCAAGGAATTATAAATTTTCGAAATTTTTTGAAAGCTAACTTTTGCAAAACCACAAAAATTAAATATCCAAGAAAATACAATTGTTTCTCAATCCACGTCAATTGGTTCAAAAGAAAGTAAATAAATACACAGTATAAATTAGGTACTGTAAATTCAGAAATTATTAGATTTCATAAATGTGAATAACAGGACTGGGTGAGAATCACAATATAAATGAGAACTTGCATTCCAATATTAGAAACGTATATCTTGTATTAAGATTTTTCCAAATTCGTAAGATTAATCTCACATTTCTGTCCATACTTCAAAAAATCGCAAAAACAAATGCACATAATAATTTCTGAATTTACAGAAATAAATCTTGCTTACCATCCTACTTCTCATTCTTTTTAATTTTCTGTCATTTTTTCTATCCTATAAATAAATGAATAAAAATATGAGGTAAAAATCTATATTTTTTAATCTATTTGATCTAAATTTTGATAAAAAAAAGTTTATAAGGACTTCATTTTGTACTAAACCTCAGGGATCAAGGATAGTAAAGTAACCAGGAGTTCAAGGGAGATAACCAAGATGTCAAGGGAGATAATCTAGTATATATCAGACCATTCTCTTTTGAATTTTTTCACATTTTGAATAACTGAGGACCATTAAAGTTTAGTATACTGTACTGGTTTTGCTCATTGATGAAAGCTGTATAGTTTAAAACTTTGGTGGATAGCTGTTTCATTGGCAATCACTCCACATCTTCTCATTGCCATACCGACTAGTAAAAAGATACAAAAAATCACAGTAGACCTTTGGTTTTCACTGTCTCTTCATGCTTCCAAGCCTTTCTAGCACTTACTTCACATGTTTAATAATCTCTTTTGAATACATTGTATCTTCTTTTATTCATATTTACTGAACGATAAATATGGACTGCATAGTAAACCACTGACCTTCAGCAGGAAAACTGACAATTCTAGTCAATTAAGATTGGGAGTCAAAAGAATTGCCACATGCAAGGTTCAAACTCACAACCTCAGTGTTGACAGGCTAGCGATATAATTTTTTTACAGCTTTTCTATAAAAGCATGCAAAGCAAACCTTTGATCAACTTGCTTGCTATGTTTGCTTGGATGTTTGTAAACAAAAGGGTACCCGGAGTTTCAGTCTGTTTAATTTATACTGGTATTTGATTGGACAATAAAAATTGACATACAATGTGAAACTTAACATTTAAATGAAGTTAATGTTTATTGTCCAATCAAATTCTAAACAGACTGAAATAGACTACCTACCTGTTGTTTACAAACATCCAAACAAACATAGCAAGCAAGTTGATCAAAGGTTTGCTTTGCATGCTTTTATAGAAAAGCTGTAAAATTGTTTGTATGCAGCATTTCTTGAAATTGTAATTTATAAGCTCAACAATCATAATAATAAATACTGGCAAAATTTCTTTCTCTGTAATTTTCTTGTATCTTTTACACTTCTTACTATTTCAATAAAAGATAAAAGAATAATTCAGTACAACAGACATAATGTTAAATTAAGGCAAGCTGGACAAATTTCAGAGAATAAAAGTTCCCTGACGAATACAGTTTCAAAACCAGGACAGTACTTAAGAAACCAGGACAATGCAAAAGAAACCAGGATAAAATTTAAGAAACCAGGACAATACTTAAGAAACCAGGACAATACTTAAGAGAAACCAGGACAATACTTAAGAAACCAGGACAATAAATAAGAAACCAGGACAATACTTAAGAAACCAGGATAATACTTCAGAAACATAAGAAACCAGGACAATACTTCAGAAACATAAGAAACCAGAACAATACTTACAAAATAACTGAATGTACAACTGGCCGGAATCCAAAGAACTAATGAAAATATGATGATTGTTCCTACAATGTTACTCTTCATAAACGCCACTGTAAATATAAAATTATAAAATATGATGATTTTTCCTACAATGTTACTCTTCTTTAACTCCTATGAAATTTTATAAAAAGGTCCTGAAGAGAAGACTGTTCCTCAATTTATTTCTGGATGATAAAATAAAGGTGGAGATCAAGTTATATTTAAATTCTTTCATGTCAAGTTCTATGCTCATTTTATCATGGGTAGGCATTATATTTGTCGATATCTTTACATTGAGCAAGGTGTAAAATGATGGCAAATATAATGTCTACCCATGAGCATAGAACATGACATGATAGAATTATTTCAATTCTAATATGAAAATTCAAATTTTTGTACTTCAAAACAGACCTATAAGACATATTTAAAAGGCAGTCATTTTGATTTGATGAAGCCAAAATGTTATAGAAAACCAACTGTTTCACAATTAAAAATGAACATATACATGTAAATTAACTTTTAGAATGATTTTATTTAATTTATTCAAATTACAACAGATGCTGCAATTTTAATTGTGATTTCACTCAAATGCACCCTATGTTCTATTGGAATTAGAACATGCCCTTTTTTATAAAGCAAAAGAAATACATCATCTTAGAACTATCAATAAAGGACCTTACTAATAGGAAAAAAATCAGAAACACTGATACATATTTTTGGACATTGGCCGAACCCCTCCCCCCTCAAACCCCACACACACCCTTCTTACAATGTTTTTGTTTTCCTACTTTAGGGCTATTCCATTAAAACGTATGTGGGAGGGTAGGAAAGGATGTTTAATTATTGAATGTGGGTCAAGGGTCTTTTTCAGTATGCGTCTATTACCATTATGCAAAATTATCTAAAAAATGGTTCTGGGTTGTAGGGATATTTTGAAAGTCCCTTGCTACCCTCCCACATACATTTTAATGGAATAGCCCTTATTTTGTATTTCTGGTAATGGGAACAAAATTGCATTTTTCTATTTTTATAATGTGAATGAAAAGTATGCTGAATCTCGCAATCAACATGTTCTTATTCAACTATAAATAATTTAATTTTAGATGAGACATGTCTTCTGATTGGCTGAAATTATTTTGTCTATCAGCTCCTAAATCATGTAAATATAATTTTGTCATGTGACTGTGACGTCATCAACGTTTTTTCATGATTTACTCCTTAAAAATGGAATTTAGCCATAAACTATAAGGAATGACTGTAATATTTCTTCTGTCTATTCGAAATAACCTCAAAAATGCCCACTACGCGGGATATTCAGTGTGCACCACACTTTTTATGTTATTTCTTTATAGACAGAAAAAACATTACAGTCATTCCCGAATTAAATTATAACAAGTAAAACATTATAGATACATCTACACCATTATTTATATCTTACATATAAAATAAAAGTAACATGAAATATTTTTAATTCAATTTGGACTAACTGGTAATACTTACCAAATTCATCAGCTGTAATATTTTCTATAATACTGAATAATCGCTGAACCATGTCTGACACTTGCTTCTTACAATGACCCTGGAAAAAATGTCAAGGTTAGTTTCAGGAGCAATCTTTTACCATATCAGCCCTCAGGTTTACATTCCTCTGTATAATATAATGATAAAATATGAAAAAATTGTCACATTGTCCTCTTTTCAATATAATTCCTTTATTACATTTACAATTACATTCACAATTCTTTTTTAAAAACCAAATTCTTGAAAATATTGAAATCTAGTCTGTAAAACCTCTTTGAAATACCTACACTTTCACAGTAACCATGGTAACAAGGTCTGCCGTCTGTTAACTCTACAATTCTCTCATCTACTTGACAAGTTGAGTTGGTAGTATTGTATTTACAACATTTAAAACATGCATACCCAGTTTCTACAAAGAAAGCAATCACAAGATTAACATTTTAATTTAGCCTCTATTTTTAAAACAAATTTAACATGTGTTCTGCAATTCCCTAAAAGTTGTTTCTAAAAATAGTATTCACTGGTTTTAAATCCATATAACTATTGATGAGGGGCGTAAAAGGGTGGGGTGGGGGGGGGGTATCTGCACGGAAGAACGCGAAATAAAATTGCCATTTCACAATGAATGAACAATTAAAAATTTCTTGAACATTGATCTTTTTACCAGATTTCACGAAACACGGTGAATAACGAACCTTTTTCATGGCTGCACGTGAAATAAAAATGGCAGAACACTTTGCACGAAAATAACCCTTTACCACCCTCATTGATGGCTGCACCTGATGAAACAGCAAGAAAATTGTTTGTATTGCTACTCAGTCATATACATTGAAAACTTAAGAAGGTGCTGTGTGCGAAAGTTCTTAAAATTTGCATTGTTTAATTTCATTACATTCTGAAGAACTTTAAAAATTAAATTTGAATCACATAAAATATGCCAAGTAACTTCTAAATTCAACTAAATTATATATAGACTATGAATCTAATTTAATTATTGAATTTTCAGGAATTGCTGCATACAAATACTGCTATCAAAATAAAAAATAAATTTTCAAAATTATAAACACAATTGCCAAAATATCTAAATGTACAGTAGTTCCTCATTTCCTTTTATTCATAATGAGAAGCCTTTATGAGGCAATTTAATTTTGTTATATAATATTACCTGGAGCACATATACAAGGTTCTTTGCCTTTAATTTCACAGAAGTTCAGACAAACACCGTCCTTACATATACCTCTGAAAAATTCAACCATGTTCTACATAAGCTTAGCTTGTTTAAGTGCATTGACGTTACATAAATTCCTTGATTCCAAAATTGCTCAGGTGAAACTAAGTTCAATCTTAGCTGAAGAAAAATATTATGACTAAGCAATAATGATTTAACATATGAGCTGTGTACAGGAATATCAATACATCTGTTAACCTATTTTGGGTAGAAAAAATTTCTATGAAAAGTCTGTAACTTTTTGAAAATTGAATTGATATTAGAACCCTACAAAACAGACAAACATTTATCTTTTGTTTCATATTTGGATGTCCAAAAATCAATCAAAAATACAAAAATATCAAATGTACATGTATACATGCACTTGCATAGGGTCAATTTCTATCTGACGCAACTCAAATGTTGATATTTCAGTATATATATTGTGAACTTTCTATTTCTATGTAGCAACATTCTGACAGCACCTGCATATGGAATGTATATATCTCTATTTCAGAACTTGCTTTTCTATAATGATGTTCTAGATAGACGGTTGCTGCATGCAAGAAAGAAGGCTTTTGTTGACTGATATGGAATACTTGTGATATTTTTTTGCACATGGCAGGCAGAATGAAATAGGCTTTGAATGATTTTGAACAGAACAAGTTTAAGTGTTCTCGAGTTATTGAATGTCTAATTATATCACTCTAGGTGAAAGATTCAACTGAATGTAAGAGCATGAGTTACAACACAACAGGTGCCACATGTGGAGCAGGATCTGCTTACCCCACCAGAGAACCTGAGACCACCCCTTGTTTTCTTACGGATTCTTGTCGCTCAGTCTTTAGTTTTCTATGTTCTGTTTTGTATACTGTTGTTTGTTTATACACCTTATCGCTATTCCTGCTTGACTCGAGAATCTGTCCCGCTTGAACTGTTGACGTCATACAACAATCACTTTTCCATTGTGGCGTCAGATATTTTCTATTATGACGTCAAAATTTTACGGGAACTTTTGTGATGTCCAGTAATGGCGGACAAATAGCGATAAGGTGTATTGAGCGTTTTTCATGTTTTGACATGGCATTGTCATTTGTTTTGTACTTATGAGTTTGAATATCCCTTTGGTATACATTTTGTATATTTCATGCCTCTTTTTTACAAAGGTGCAAAACATAGCAGCATTATTCAAGCCTTTGATCACTTTTTGATATTCACTTAAACTTTGAATCCCAGGTTTAAACATTAAACCAAGGTATCACCTAATAACCAATGTCCTCAACTGTCATGGTAACCATCTTATTTATTAGGTTGTCATGGTAACTTACCCATCTATACATGGTCGGCCATTGTTTTTAATCCTAGGTTCAGGACAATTAAGACTAGATCCACTGATGAAAGGTTAAGGATAATACCAATATAAAGTAAAAACATCCAAGACAAAATCTTAAGTGCCAATTTGACTAAGAATCAGGCAGTGGTGAAAACATGACAAACAAAAACCCACTCAAGTTGACATTAATTTATGTTCAAAATGTATAATGGTGCACGAATATAACAATCGTTTCCTTTTCCTGTTCTGGTAATTCAAGAAATAATTTGGTTGAAATGCACTAGAAATTAACAATTAAGGGGAGCTAACTCCGTAATTTGCTATCATTCTAACCAGAAGTTATCTAGAGATTTCTCGAATTACCAGACACACAGAAACAAAAGACCTACCATTTCTAACTCAGGATTAGGGAAACTTCAAAATAGGATGTTTAGGTCGGTGGGTTTTTTTCGGCCATGTTTTGATTTTTTTCAAAATTGCCTGATTCTTACAAAGACTGGCACTTAAGTCTCTAAACCATAATTTGAAACTCAATTTATCTAAACATTTTAATACCTGTATTTTAATATACTGTAAATTCCAAGATTAATGTGTGCATTTATCATTGGGAATCACTGATAAAAATGCTATATATAATTAATGTGACTGCAAAAATATTTTGGCGGAATATCAGTACTGAAATTAAGAATGCGAGTTTTTATTATTGCCTTCCTGATACTGTCGCATTTTTAACATTAATAATAACTTTGCAATCATTTCTGAATTCAAAATAATTGATTCCTAGCTTTTTGTGTACGATAACATGATCTTTGATGACTGTGGATGATTTTGATGTTCTCGTTTGGCCCTTTTAGGAGATTTTGCAACTCCCAACTATTTAATGTATTTGGTTTCTGTAGCTTTTGTTATCGACAGTATAGGGTACCAGATTGGAAACTTTTGTTATCGACCATACAAGGTATCAGAATTATGTTTCTTCCCATTGAAATAAGTATTATACATTTGTTCTCATTTTTTTCTTTGAATTTCCATTGATTTTATGCACTGCAAACAATGTTTAAACTTAACATATGTAACAAATCTTAAAGAAAGATCAACCATGGCAGATATCATCCTCGCTTAAAAATCAAATTTAATAAAGATATATTTTTCTCCATCTAAATTAAAGCAATTATAGTTCCAAATCTTAAAACTTCACAACTACGAAATATAGTATCTGTTATTGTAATGATTTTAAAATTATATTTTTGCAATATTTAACACTCTTTTCTGGTGATTTGCATATATTGTCTACTTTTTTAATATGGTCACCTTTTTTTTATGTTCTAAAAATGAAAAAGTTGGTGTGTACTCACAAGATATTTGAAATCCTCATGAAACTTACCCAATTTAAGAACAGATAAAAGCAAAATGTTTTTTTTTACCACAAATTATGATATACTCAATAGTTTGCAGTAGATTTCAACATAAAGGATACTTGCACACAGCGTCCCCTTTACAGTCTAGAGTATTTTCAACGCCACAAGAAGTATTTTTATCTGCTATTTTACATGTAGAACGCACACAACATTCATAATTCCATCCACTGAAAAATAAAATGTTCTGTTAAAAACACCTTATATAATCATTATCACAATTTGTAATATCAAAATATATTGAAATTTAAAATACTCTTTCAAAACATAAATATGAATAAAGAAGACTTTCTGCCTTCAAGAGACTGAAAACTGTTTGAATATTGTTAAATACTTTCAACTATTCAGCACTCATCAAGATGAACAACTTTTCATAGATTTGGGACAAACAAATTATTTTCAACTTTATTTTCTACAAATTTTGTACATACAACAAAATAGTGCTTTATATCTAAATACCTTAGCAATGACTTTCCTACATATTGCACCAGTCTGATATAACACGATTACCTTAGCAATGAATTACCTACATATTGCACCAGTTTGATATAACACGATTACCTTAGCAATGAATTATCTACATATTGCACCAGGTTTGATATTACAGTTACCATAGCAATGACCTACCTATATACTGCACCTGGTTTAAGATCACAATCTATTACATGGTTACCATAGCAATGACTTACCTACATATTGCACCTGGTTTGAGTTTACAATCTCTATCACAACAATTATCACCATAGTAACCAGCATCACATTCTTCGTCTTCCTCTAGTTTACCATTCCCACAGAATGTGACATCAGAACTTTCTAAAATTATACGCACTATTTATATGATTGATTAATAGATTGTTGGTTTTCAATCACACTCTCAGCGCTATTGGCTATTTCATGGTGGCCAGTTTTTATTGGTGGAGGAAGCGAGAGTACCTGGTGAGAACCACTGATCCTCTGCAAGAAAACTGACAATCATAGTCAATAAAGATTGGAATAGAATGCACCTGCCATGTGTGGGGTTTGAACTCACAACCTGTGTTGATAAGCTAGTGATACAGTAGTTGAACTACTAAGAACACTCAGCCATCGAGGCCACTCTAAATGTGTGTTTACTTTATGTATATAAACTCATCATAGATACCAGGATTAAAATTTTGTAATTGTGCCAGGCGCGTGTTTCGTCTACAAAAGACTCATCAGTGACGCATGAATAAATAAAATGTCAAAAAGGCCAAACAAAGTACGAAGTTGAAGAGCATTGAGGACCAAAAATTCCTAAAAGTTTTGCCAAATACAGCTAAGGTAATCTATTCCTGAGGTAGAAAAGCCTTAGTATTTCAAAAATTCAAAGTTTTTGTAAACAGTTAATTTATAATTATGACCATATCAATGATAATTCATGTCAACACAGAAGTGCTGACTACTGGGCTGGTGATACCCTCGGGAATAAAAACTCCACCAGCAGTGGCATCAACCCAGTGGTTGTAAATAAACTCATCATAGATACCAGGACTAAAATTTTATATTTGCGCCAGATGAGCGTTTCGTTTACAAAAGACTCATCAGTGACGCTCGAATCAAAAAATGTCAAAAAGGCCAAACAAAGTACGAAGATGAAGAGCATTGAGGACCAAAAATTTTACAGTGAGATTGTCAGGCTACTGAGTATTCATTAGTATTATCTGAGGGATGCCAATTACCATGGATTTCGTTGGTATAAATTTCTATGGCTTGTATTCAGACTTTAGCAAAACTATAAAATAAAATATCGAAAATACGATTTTTTCTCAACCCAAGAAAATTTGTACCCACGAAAAATAATTGAATCTACAGTATCTATGACAGTATTGTCAATTTGTTTGATTTCTTTGCCAGATATAAAGCATGAAATGTTGATATTCCCACTCAGCTGTGTGCACAGATGTAGTGTGATTGACATCTAGCAAAAAAATTTAATCATCGGTACTAAGGGACCTTTTGAACTTGCAGTGAGGTAAGAATTTTTTTGCTCCATGTGTATTGGCTAACAGTGACTGTTAGATGAAGAATAGCAAAATAGTGTTGTTTCTTTGCCTTCAGTTTTATTACTTTTGTGTAGTAATTTTGTGTCATGAATTGATACACCACTTTTCCTTTCTTTTTCATGACAAACAAGTATGTGCACTTTGTTGTGCTAAGCATACCTCCAGTTCAAATCGATTTTTTTAGACCTAAAATACCTCAACCTAGTATATATTTCCCTTTGCTGCCATTTTGGAGGTGTTAACAGTTGATTTTTACAAACAAGTTTGATAAAAGATGGTAGTGATGAATCAAGCAAGTACAAAAGAAATTAAAAATTTTCAAAACAACTTTTTCTCAAGTCTAGAGGTCAGTATAACAATTTGAATGTGGCTGATTTATGATGGAATTTGTACACATAGACCTCCAAGATGGTGACAAATGGGAAGTAACTCTCTCTAAAATTTTGTCTATCGAAACCTATCTATCATTGCCAGGCGTTCCCTTACCTGTAAAACATCTAGGTCCTTTTGATTCTAAAACTTTAAATATGTACTGCTTACTGCATTGACTGAAAAACTGCAAAAAACAAAAAAGTTCTTTGATCTTTAACACATGATAGAGTTTTAAACAAGTTTTTAAGGGCTGTTCCAAAATTTATCGGGTGGGGGATGGGAGGCACTCAAATTATTTAAATATGGGTGGTAGCATTTTTGTAAGAATTATCAAATGAAAAATTTTGATTTTATGGGTGGATGAGATCTTTTAGTGCCTCCCCATGCCCCCCTTTACGTTGAATTCTGGAACAGCCGTAACCTTTTTAATGCAATGATGATTTTCAGAGTTCATTTTTGTGTGTGTATTAAAAATACCCAAATAAATATTATTTATGCTGCTCAAAAAGTAATTTCAGAATGTGGAAATATCTGATCTATGAATTTAGATGTCCATATATTGTTTTTACAAATACAGAATATTTTTTGAATGATTCAATTCTGTTTAACATAGCCATAAAGGAGAGAAAATTCAATTTTATAAAGAAATATACAGTAAATATACCTATTTTGTTTTGTGTTTTGTAGCAAAAAATCGAGAACAATGACCACATTTTCTTTTATTTTCTGAAAGCACATTATAAGAGATATTGTCTCATATTTTATTCTAAAACTCTATCATTTAGTTCTCTTTCTATTCACACAAAAGTGTTTTCCCATGATTGTATTATATATTCTTTACAAACTCTCGAGAATTTTGCCGAACCTTTAGCTTGAAAAAAAGTCAATGACCCATCTATTTTATATGTTGTAAAATAGCATGATACAAAATACATTCTTGCAAAGTATCAAAAATTTCTGTTGTTTTTAATTCAAACCCCCATTCTACATTAAATACCCTTACCTTGTTATTTTGGTCATACCCAGTAACTGCATATGGATACATGAGGTAATGCCCTCCTCTCTCAGAGGGTGGGGCACAGTCTGATGTGTCTGGGTCATGTTCACTACCCCAGTTATGACCTGAAAATAATAAAAGTCTGAATGTACAATACCATATGTGGATCTCTATTTTGATGTAAACTTTCTACACAGACTTCACAATGTCAGAGTCCCTATTTCACTGTTTTAAGATGGATAGAAACATGTAACTCTCTAAAGATGAACAATATAAAGTGCTCATCTGCAAATATCCTAGAAAAACTGCGATTTTTTTTAACAATGCATTTAAAAGAAAAAACTTTCTGTATCGAAACAATCAACTTTAAATGATTATTTTGTCCGCTGTTTAATAATTATTTTTCATATGTATAAATGTTTAAAGTGACTTATAAGGTTTAAAGGGCTAGGTGTTGATACATGTTATTGCAACCACTTATCGATATATAGTTTAATATCATAAAACACATGTCACTATAAGAAAACAATTTGGTATTGGTATTGTACCTTACTGTAATATAGATTAGGAAATATATGTGTGCAGTCATTGATACAAAGCAAAGATACAAAGCAAAAACAACCACTAAAATGCAACACTATTTACAACAATTCTATAGCAAAAACTAGAGCTGTTTAATTTCATGCTCCAATCTCTCTTATATGCCTTATACCAAGAATTGTTACTCCCAAAGTCAAAAAACCTAAACTCTTGATGTTTTGTACCAATTGTTCCTTTATAAGATTTTTTAGAAGTTCTTTAATATTTTTTGTTGTTTTGTACTTTGTTCAATCACATAAAGCTATTTCTTTGTAATAAGACACAATCTTTACGAAAAAAAAGTAAAAGTTATAGATAACTTACCTAATTCTGTCATTTTCAGCAATATGAAACAAAAAATAAGTATAGATAAGATGTTACGATACAAATTTTCATGGATTTCATGGGTAAAGGTGAACCATAAATTAAAATATTCAACAAAGTGCAAAATATTGATAGGCTTGCATGCAGTCTACGGCAAAACCAGGAAATCATATATCCACGAAGATGCGATTTTCACTCAATCCTCGAAAATTTAGTATCCACAAATATAAATGAATCCACAGAAGGAAAAATACAATAAATCCTTATTTTTGTGTTTCTTTCTTTTATAGATTATGTTGTAACCAGGGTAACTTCTAAAACAAATGTAAATAATATGATCTGAAATACCGGCAAACCAGTTTTCAAGTCATTTCTCCAACTGTGGTATCAATGTTTCAGGATAAAAAATGTTTTAAACCGATGAAAAGACATGTGAGGAAGTTAAATAGAAGTATTTTTGTCAAAGTTATATTCTGAAGCTTTGATTTTTACATCCCAAATAGGTCAAAAACTGAGATTTTTGCAAAATTTGACAAAACCGTACTGATTTCATCTAATTCAATGCCTAGGTAACATAGAGCGCAGGAGTCGACCAACTAAATATTTGTGTCAGATATGTAAAATGCCATAACAAGAGTTATGCTAAAAGATTTTTCTTATCCAAGAAATCAATGGAAATTTATCCATTTTCACTGAATTTTCGTCGAAAATCAGAATGTGTGACGTCATGAACAGAGTGCAAGTACGTAAATTTTCAAAAAAAAAAATATTTTCGATATTGTCATTGTATAAGCTATGATTCATTTTTGTATTGGTCAATTGATCCTTATTTCAAATTTTAGCCAGAAATAGGGGCCATTTTAGGACCTTATCGAACCAACTCCTTTGTGGTTTAGGTTTACCATCAAGATCCACAGAATTTTGAATCCCACGAATAATAGTGAATCAACAGTGCAAAAATTCTTGTATCTTATTAATAGGTTACTTTTGGTGACATATACATGGAAATAAAAATATACATATGTTTTTCATTGTGTTTGATATATCATTCTGACCTAAAATAAGAGAGAATGTGATGAATTTTTCTAAGGTTTTCTGTTTATTTAGGGGTACTAAGACCCATGTTTAACATAGTGTTTTGTCTACTGTAAACATGTACAGCCTACCATGACAAATCACTTAAAGAACTGCTGACGAAAAAAATGTGTTGAACTTTAAAATTTTACTGGTAAAAAACGTGTTTAATATGCTGTATCCTTGTGAATAAATACCCACCATGAGAAGTAACTAGTGCAGCTTCTAGTGATAGAATGCGGTGACCTTTACTGTTTTTACTGGTACTAAGGCCAGTGTTCAACATGGAGTTATGCCCCTGATGGAAAAAATCTGAAAAATAAGAATTATGATAAATGCTGTTGAAAAATACATTTCAAGAAACTTTTTAAATAACTTGACCGTTTAGTTTTAAATTAAAATCTATATTATAACACTAAAGGAAGCAAAAAAAAAGAAAAGAAATAAAAAAAAAAAATATAACTGACATTAAAATATATCTGATTAATACATTTATAAAACTATGTATCAATTTTAAAAGGCACTGGCTACGGTTACATGGAAATGTTACAATAATAAAAATATTATTGTTACATTGGAGACTAAATGCCGGAATGCATGGTTGGTAAGGACCTGATTAATTACGAATGTAACAATAATTATTGAGGCTACGGTTACATTGCGTTATTGTTACATGAAAAACAGCAATGTACGCTAGATTTATTAAACTTAAATCTTCTATAGTTTTGTTGCTTAATTCTTTCATATGTACTAAATAATACTTGAAATAATGATAAATAATAAATATTATTATTCAACAAATGGTGTTTAAATAGTTTTACGTATTAATGGTTTTGATATTCTTAAAGATACTACTTCAGATTAGTAGTGCCAAAGGCGAAAAGTATAGTTCAATGGTTTGTTGTTGAGAACTCGGGCTGAGAAAAGTGTTCACTTCTAAGTATTTAACTGCACACCTACTACTTATTACTGTCATTATACTTTGAATAATGGATGAAGAGATTCCTATTGCCAATTTTGTTTTGGGTGAAAAATTTAAAACTTGGGATGCGTTTGAAACAAAACTGAAACAATATCAAGACACGAATTTCATACAGCTATACAAACGCAGTTCTAAAAAAATTGATACATCAATAGCAAAGTTTGCTAACTGTGAACAAAAATACTGTGAACTTCTGTATACATGCAAGGAATTGTATAAAATATTGGATGAGAATATCAACATTGCTAGAGTGAAAAAGTATTTCTCACCAGAAGCATGGCAAACATTAAAGGTTGCCTTATCTTCTAAAAGGGATATCGCAGAATGGAACTGCACGGTATGCGATACGGACGTTCACAATGCGGCATCACTGGTGTGTGGTTTCATCAGAAATGTGTCGGACTTGAACATGCTCCAAAAACCACTTACTTGATATGTAGAAAATGTCATTGTAAATAAAAAATTAAAGAAATTGTATGTAATAATTGTATGTATTGTAAATATAAAATAAATGTCTTCAACTTTTATTATTTAGAACATATTACTAGTCCCATCGTACATTGCTGTTTTTCATGTAACAATAACGCAATGTAACCGTAGCCTCAATAACTATTGTTACATTCGTAATTAATCAGGTCGTTACCCAACCATGCATTCCGGCATTTAGTCTCCAATGTAACAATAATATTTTTATTATTGTTACATTTCCATGTAACCGTAGCCAGTGCCATTTTAAAATGTTTCTATCAGTATATAACCCATGCCAGAATAAACACAAACTTAAAATAACACTTTATAAATTTTGTGTATATGAAGAGCTTTTCTGGATTTACCTTCATCAGGAAAGCTCAAACCAAAAACATTCAATTTGACAATGCAGGATCCCAGTTCAGTACCCACGAATGAAGTCCCTTAATAAATCTACCATCTTTTAAATGGGATATTGTACCAAGATGAAAATTATGTAAAGATGCTTAAATTTGTAGTATATCCAAAGTGTATTCATTAAACTTTCAAATTCTGTTAAATTTTAAGTGATTCTGAAATGTAAAGGGTGGATGATTGTCTGAGTAAATGGTCCAGATTTTATTTTCGATTTTAACCAGCTGGAAGTCAATAAAATAGTATTGCTCTCTTAAATGCCAGTCATGACCTTTCAAGAATTCTCCAAGTACCAATTGAGGGGCTACTAGTATGACAAAGTAGTTGAAATTTTGCAGTCTAATATAGGGAATAAAAAATCTGCCCCTCAATTATGATAAAATTGCATTGAAGTAATGGGGCAAATAATTGGGTCCCCGTTCCTGACTGAACTAAAGATGTTACAACAATGAGTACTCCCTTTGAGAAGTAAAAGACTCTTGAGGGAGATAACTCTTGTAAATAAATAACATTATCAAACAGAAATGTGGTGTTTTGCCTAAAGCATTTTGTTGATACAGAAAATCCTTATGGCAGAAATCAACTGATTTACCAATAAGATAAAGATCAATCTCAAGTTGTTTTTTTCAGAGATTGGGTCAATCGATATAAATGATGTCATTGAACAATCGGTTCTTACTCTGCTGTTATAACATAAACATAGGGAATGTACAGGAAAGTGCATGATTTTGAAGGTTGTCTATTCAATCCAGAACTAAGTTACTTAATTTTAACAAAATTCTATCCTTTGGTTGGTCTTATTGTAAAATTTGTTTAAAAAAAACTAAAAATTAAAATAGTTTTGAACCAAACTGTTAGATAATTCTATAAATAGAACACTATAGGGTTTAACTTGCTTCTTCTACATCATTTGGTCCCTGGTGGAGAGTTGTCTAATTGGCAAACATACCACATCTTCTTATTGATATATTTAATGATTGATACCTACCCCAGGAGCATAAGCCACCTGGATCCTTTTCTTTGTGTGATGAGATGTAAGCGAGTCCTAAAACTCCCCGTTCAAATTTATGAAATGTAAATAAATGAGCTAAGCAGAATCCTCGGAACTGCTCGTCACGACTAAATGCCTGAAATAAAATTTATCATTAAATATAAGATATTACATTGTACAAAACACAAATAATTTAATAACTGTATGTGCTAGCTTTTGTAAAAGTCTTAAACATACATAATCTTATCTCAGACAATATGGGAAAAAGCATTTAAGAAGTTATGCAATTACAGCCGATTTCAATGAGTGTGTAGGCAAAGGTAATATCTTTGGTTAGCTTGCTTGCTAGCTGAACCGTGAAGTCATTGTTAGGTTAGGTAAACTACCCTCCTTTAAGAGTAGACTAGTCCGACAGAAAACCAACCTATCTGTCTGTAGGACTAGACTACTTCGAAAGGAGGGTAGTATACCTTACCTAACAATGACTTCATGGTTCAGCTAGCAAGCAAGCTAACCAGATACTACCTTTAGCTACACACTCAATGAAATCGGCTGTAGTATTTTTGTGACGGATAAGGTACGAATTGGCGCTTATTTGGCCCTGTCAATTTGACGAATATAAAATAATTGGATGATTATTTATCTAACCTACTAAATGTACGCCATAATTTAAATGACAATATCAGGTTAGTCTTGATGACGCAAATTGGTTGTGAGGTTTTTGAAGTGATGTCATAGTGGCGATTTCCCAAATCTAGCCAAAAAAGATCAAAATTTGACTTTTGCTTACTGTCATTACCTGTATATCAAAATTTTGAAAGCATCAAATTTCCACAATCTCGTTTGTCACAACCCTATTCCATTATTATTTTTAATTAGTATATTTGTTCATAGTTTTATTGTGTTTCTATCATCAGAAAATGAAAACCTCCCGTAAGACATCAGTAGTCCTTTTCACAAAAAATCTTAAGTGTAAAATTAATCTTACGATAAAAATATTTAGTTGAATTGTTAAGGAATATTTTAGACTTACGATAAATCTTACACTTAAGATTTTTTGTGAAAAGAGCTACAGAGAGTGAAATTATTGGATTCATTTCACATGTGAAATTATCAGTTTTTATTTCACAGTATTTCACTACAACTAATGTAATAAGTATATTAATACTTGCCTGTAATAATGTGTTTGCAGTCCAATTTTTCATGGGACCATAATTATAATGACCTTTTTGTGCTGAATAGTTCTGATGAATCTGAAGCTGAAAAATGGAACAGTAAGTTTTATTGAGGAATACATGTACATAAAAGAACGTCATTTTTACTATCAGAAATCATGTGGTCTATAGTTGGTGACTCCCACTTATAAAATACTTAAACACAACTAAATTAATGTTGAAATGACATCCTAAATTGTACCATACTTTGATAGTGTTATAGAATAGATCAAATGAACCAGTCTTTTTTATTCCAAAACACCAAAGTATTTCATTATTATGTCTGAGGTCTAGCAGTTTTGGTCAGAATAATAGAATAAACTACAAAATAATTTTGAACAAATAAGGGTTCCATTTGTTTGTATAGTATATGCCCCTTATACGAGTTCACTATAATATGTGATTTTTTTTTAACTTTTTCTAGTCTTTCTATTTCACTTACCAACTTCTAACCATCATTTGGGACACTGATATTAATCTAAACTGATATCTGTGGTGAAATTAACTCCAATTAACGTTTGAGGGATGATTTCTTATTCTGGGAATTTTAATCACATGTAACAATTATCATAATGTTGGATAGTAAATATCAAATGTAGTGAAAAAGGCTTATACGATCTTTGTAAAAGTGACGAATTTGCTATAATTGATGTGAATCTTATTATTTACTGTCATAAAGGATGCTTTCAATCAAAAGTTGGAATATCTGAATACATCTTTTGGTAATTTACGTGAAAGCTGTATATATAGCACAATCACTAAACTATGAGGAAGGATGGTAGTACATGTATTGGTAGGTGTATCCTTACCTCAGCAATTTCAAATCCCAGACCAATAAGATCTGAACTATCATCTGGCCATTTTGTTCTTCTAAATATTTCATTTACTTTGTTCAAAGTGCCTATCTGCAAAATAAAACCAACAAGTGATGCAAATAGGTTTTCGAATATTCGATCATTCATTATAATAAGGAATAAATAGTACAATTATTTCATTCTAATTCTCACTTGTAAGAAAAGGTGAAGGGAACAACAAAATTATTTGGGTTATTTTTCTCATGATTTCCAAATTGATATTGAATTTGTCTGTGTTTTTTTAACATTAAACATCTATTTGGCAGTAAGATCTAAGGGGGGAGGGGGGAAGAGGGGTTATAAAATTTAAGGATGTGAATCAGTTGTAGTGACCCCTGATTCATTCATTACTTTACTTTGCAATTCTACATTGTGCAGAACTTGGGTAAAATTTAAGGTCTCTCATTTTCCCATAAAGTCTTCTTTAGTTATGACACAAAAATGATTCTAAAAAAACTGAGAAATAAATCAATAAATCTGAATATATAAAATCTTTAGATAATAGTTCAATTTCAATATTAAAACCTCTAAACTGTATGCTTATATAATGTAAGGGCTGATAAACAGATAGTCGCATGGGAGGCACTTTTTAAGACCCTGACCATCCATATAATAAAAGTTTTCATTTTACTTATAACTCTTACAAACTTCTTAGGAAAATGCAACCAACCATATTTAATTAATTTGAGTGCCTCTTATCCCCTTACTCGATAAATCTTTTTAACAGCCCTAAGTATCTGTACTCCACAATGCCATCTTTTACTTACAATATAATTTGCTGTCGTATGAGCTCTTCCGTCACCAACATTTTTATGGAATTCAAAGTCCGCAACTAAAAACAGTTTGCAAACTCTCTTAATACCAAATGATTTAATGTTTTCTCTTTTAACTCTACTTTGACCTACAAAAAGAAAATTATCACCCTGGTAACAACAAATTTAAAATGTTATATCTGTGATAGTGTGAATTCATTATTATTTGTGGAGTACCAATCCACGTGGATTGCTTGGGGATAGGTGAACCAGGAATTTATGTGTTCAGCAAAGTATCAATTCCCTATAGGCTTGTGTCCAAAATTTTGCAAACCACTACATCAAGTATCCACAAAAATAAAATCCTTCCTCATTCCACGAAAATTGGTTCCTGATGATAATAAATGAATCCACAGTAACACAAAAAACTTCATATTTAATCCTCATCGAGTCCACGACAGTTCTAATTCCAATGTAACATTTATTTTTGTTAAACAGATTTAGAAGGAATTCATTGCTCGAAGACAATTATTGATACCATCTATAGTGGTTTGAATAAACTTGCTTCGCTTTCAGTGTTTAAAAAAATATTTATTTCTGACAATATTTTTGCAGCTTCAATACAATGGAGATAAATGTATTGTATTTTCACACTATCAAGCATCAATCATGATTATTAGGAGCCAAATAAGTGTTCACTTGCTCCATTTAATTTCTATTCATAGAGAGGCGGTAGGAGGGGGGGGGGTCATCCAGAATTCCAGAAAAAATAAAGCATTCTTTCCCGGATCCCGGAAACTTAATCTTTAATTCCTGAGTCCCGATATGTGTAAATCTCAAATTCCTGCAAAAATAAAAGGCCAATCCTGAATTTCTGAAAAAAATAAAGGCCCAATCCCGACATCCACGAAAAATGTCTTTCCGCCCCTCATCAATCACACAGTATTCTTGCTTATGTTATCTTTATGCCACCTTATAAGGTTATGTATTAAAACTCACTTGTTTGTGTCTGAGTATTAAGTGCTGCCATCTGCAGGAAATATTCACTAGCTCTGTTATGACTTTTATCATATTTATCATCTTGTGCACAAAACTTTACCCTATGAAAATATAAAATTCTCGTATAAATCTTGCAGTCAGCAAAATTCTATCCTAAAAATATCTTTTCTGAGTTGAATGCCAAATTAGGCATTTAAACAAACACTTTGATAAGTAAAGATTACCCATATCAAAATATCATGTGTTCTTTTTGCAAACTACTAAAAATGTAAGCATCAGCAAAACTAATTTTTTACACAGAATTTTATACAGGAGAAGAGCATGATTTAAGATTTCACAAAAATCAATTGACCATGTTATGTTACTACAATCTAAACTTTTATAAAGGAAAATCACTACTAAAATTATGAATGCGAGTTTTTATTATTGCCAATCTGATACCGTCGCATTTTTCACATTTATAAAAACATTGCCATAACTTCTGAATTTACAGTATTTGAATATGCTTTATGAAACCAAATGTATGTCAATTTATTTGAATGTATGTGTGTCTGTTTTTTAATTCTTCTAAACAACTGCATTCAACCTTTCATGTAACTTTTTCATAATGTGAATTACTTTGAACATGTTGAAGGGGGATGAAATGAGAGGTGCTCATTTCCCAAATTCCACTTTTTTATATCATTTTTTACTTCTTTTTCCCAGACCTCACTTTTTCACTATATCACACATCCCTATTTTGTTAACCCCCCCCCCCCCCCCCCACATCACAAAAGCATGACATCCCCCTCACTTTGACCTTGACTTACTTTTCTCCTCCAGGATGAAGTTCCTCCAATTTCACATCAGATTTTCTGTATGCTATTAAACTGTGATTTGTTGATTCTCCTAGCACTCTCCATGATGGCTGTAAATTATGCAATTTTTTTAATCAAGAAAAATGTGGGAAAATCAAGAAATGATCAATTACAGTTCATTCAATCTTTTCTATTTGTGATTTATTAAAATTCATAACTACATGTTGTAAGATTTTGTATTTTGTTGGTAATTTTTAAACCTGAGGAAAATGACACACTGTTTAAATCTTCCAAAATTGTAGCAAAAGGAATCTGGTTTGCACAGGTTTACTGAATATCAATAAGAGATTCCATAATTGGTAATAAGATCAATTGTATATTTCCAAATTTTTATTTTTATTTAAACTAAAATTATTCATGTTTTGTGTGAGTACGTGCCCTTTTGACTGGTCTAATTTGATAATTTGACTAGATGTGATATTGTATTAATTCTTTTCATTTTTTTTATGTGTAATGCCTTGCTGTTTTGACTTGGTAAATCTAGTCTTTAAAAATTGCCTTGAACATGCATGAAATATTTGCCACTATACAAATAAGCAACCAAAAAATCTTTTCTTTAAGTGTTTCTCTGACTTGATTAGCCAATAAGTATAGATTATCAGGAATTTAAAAATTGACATCTTAAAAAATCAGCCATGAGCCACAATGTGAACTTTCTGGCGAATGACCATAGTGGACAAGCAAAAAAGATTCACATCATGTCAAGCAGCTGATTTTTAGGACCTTTATACGCAGGAAAGCCAATATTCATTTTATCTTGCTATTTATGGTCTTTTGCACTCCCTAAGACTGTTACAAATATCTCCTCATACACCATGTACACTGTGACATCCCTGATAATTCTTCTCAGGCATTATGACGTTGCTGATGAATTCTGCTCACATCTAATTGCAGTGATATGAGAATTAAGGAACTACTGAGCAGGGTGATAAAGGCAAAGGGAAGCACATTAAATTCTACTATACCTCAATGACATAGATGTCGTCTGCTGTAGTGATAGAGGTTGAGAGTAGATTGTCTTCCCAATGAGCCTCCACATGGGCACCATCTTCACCTATCAAAAGAATGAATTAAATCAATTTAAAACAAAAACATTGAAAATGTCTGATCTCTTTATGAGATATACAATAAATATAAAACAATTTTTTTACAAGTCTACATTTTTTTCCTGTGAAAACATGAATTATTTTATCAGTGGTAATTGGCTTTAGTTTTCTTGTTTTGAATTGTTTTACATTGTCATTTCGGGGCCTTTTATAGCTGACTATGCGGTATGGGTTTTGCTCATTGTTGAAGGCCGTACAGTGACCTATAGTTGTTATTTCTGTATCATTTGGTCACTTGTGGATAGTTGTCTCATTAGCAATCAAGGAAGGGTTGAGCACTCAGAAACATGTTTAAAATCACCACATTTTTTATGTTCCTTTCCTAAATATTCCTGTCCTAAGTCAGGAGCCTGTAATTTAGTGGTTGTGTTTGGTTGATGTCTGACATATTAGTTTTTCGTTTATTGTTTTAGCATAAATCAGGCCACTAGTTTTTCCTTTGAATTGATTCATATTTTGTCATTCCTGGGCCTTTTATAGCTTACTATACAATATCCTTTCACTCATTGTTGAAGATTTTACAGTGGCTTAAAGTTGTTTATTAGTGTTGCCTAGAGGTTTTAAGAGTACATGGCACCCTGTCATAATTTCTTGACGTCCTGTAAAAAATTTGGTGCCATGCCCCTTCATCATCTTATTTCATAAACCATAAGATATGCATGTCTTTTGGTCCCTGGTGGGGGGTTGTCTTATTGGTAATCATTCCACATCTTCTTTAAGAGCTGGTCAACTTACAGTAGTAAGCTCATATGAAAAAAAGGATTACAAAAATCTCTAATCTTACCTGCTATTGTTCCAGTAAAAAAGTCTTGTAAATTTAACTGGTTTTCAACTTTGCTCCCACTTGGAGTTATCACTGTCACTTTAGTTTTTCTTGTCACTACAGATGATTGCTTTAACATTAAATGAAAATTTCTGAAAAAATAAAGAATAAAAACAATTGATATACATGTAAGCAGAAGCAGGTGTCTTTCACACAGTAACCATACACGAAAAAAAAACCCAACTGACTGCAAGATTTCAACATATGAGAGTTCACAGGTATTGGATTAGTGAAGTTGGTGTATTTCAATATAGTTAAATATAACTGAGTCATCTTGTCAATCAGAATAAAAAGTAAAATAACAAAAATACCGAACTCCAAGGAAAATTCAAAATGGAAAGTCCCTTATCAAATGGCAAAATTAAAAGCTGAAACACATCAAAGAAATGGACTTGGTACAGGCATTGATCTTTCTTCAAATTCTAACAAAGCACCAACAGATTCAGTCTATTGAGTCAATTAAAAATAAATGGGGAATGTGTCCATGGGACACATATGATGCCCCCACTTGCATATAACATTATGAAGGGATATTACTCAAGAACTGTAAAAGTGACGCTACCTAAATTTGTACTTGATCTGAGCTTTGTGGTAATAAGCATTGTGTATAAGTTTCATGACATTTGGTTGAGGCAAACTAAAGTTAGAGAACAGAAACAAAAAATTCAGCAATTTTTCCATTTGTAAAGGGGCATTACTCTAGAACGGTAAAAGTGACACCACAAAAATTCAAACTTGATCTGTGTTTTGTTGTAATAAGTATTGTGTATAAGTTTCATGACATTTGGTTGAGGCAAACTAAAGTTAGAGAAGGGAAACCAATTTTGGGACGTACGAACGGACGTACGAACGTACAGACGGACAAGGGTAAAACTTAATGCCCTCTCCGCTACAGCGGGGCATTAATATTATAAAAGATGTTAAACTACTTCAATTCAAATTATATTACTCATAAACGCAGGTCAATGAATTCAATAATTGAAATTATATTTTTTATCATTTATGTTCTTAAAAAATAAGAGGACAAAACAAAAAATCTTTGAACACTGTCTAATTAAATAATGTATAAGCTGAGTGTATACATGTAGCTTTTGTAGTTAATCATGTGAATGTCAATCAATTAAATTTTGTTGTGTAAATGTGCTGTAAGATGTCCTAAGGCAATCAAAATATATATATGCTTGTTTCTTGCCTCCAAGCTAAAATAAAAAAGGGAAGGTAGTTAGGTAATTTTTTTTTTAAACTGAGATATGTAGCAGGTTAATATCAGAACAGAGGATACTCAAAACTAATGCCAAATGAGCATTACTGATAATTTTAGAAGCTAGCTTGATACATCATTCTCATTTTGTTATTCATGTTATTGTCTGCTTGACTTCTTGTTTATATTTGGAGGAGACAATATTAACCTGAAAATCTGTCAGATTCAGACAACTTTTCCACTAATGCATGAACAAAATTAGGGTTAGGGGGTCTGAGACAGGAAACAAGAACATATTTTTTTTTGTCCAAATTAAAACAAACTTACCTTCCAAATGATGAAAACCAGAATTCATGTAAACGTGAAGCTGGATTTGGATCTGGACTTCTTCTGACTCTTGATCGAATGTCTGATGACTTCAAAGTCTCAAAATATTTTAGCTTAAGCGATACATTTCCTGACAAAAAATAAAGTTCCAAATAAATAAAGCAAAGCAACATTTGCTCTGACTTTCAATTCATGAATTTCATATCAATAAAACTTCACCATAACACTATATCACGTATATATATATATAGATTCAGTGGTCTCGTTAGCCCAAATTAGAAGGGCACCGCGCCCTGGGTGCCCTCAGCCGCGCCCTGGGTGCCTTCATCCGGGCCCTTCTGCCCTGACGCCTTTTTCCCAAAAACCCTTGTGCCGTTTTGATAAAATTGCCTTTTGTTTCATCGATTTCTTATCACAAAGTTAAATTACATATATGACACCAGGTGATTGCCCCCAGGTTAATCATGTCATTACAATCAATTACAGTGGATGACTTCAAAGGTGTTAATAATTAGGTAATTTAATTAAGACAATGTACCTTTTTGTCATAAATTTGATGAATGTGTCAGCGAGTGTTTTTAGCTTGGGTCGGCATTTTCGATCTCCAAGAAGAGTGTATAAATGAAGACTTCCATGACTTTAGAATAGAATTTAAGTCATCAAAATACAACTATGCCTTCACAGAAACGCCGTCCATCTCAACTTGTGAGCGACAAGCAAACAGTAAACGTGTCAGAAATTAATTTTGGAGTTACTTCCCCTGTTTTAGCTTCTTACAAATTTGTGCTCCTAAAATATTATCTAGTACTAAAAATAGGAATAAATTACCAATTGAATACAAAATTATATAAGAATGTTACCTTAAGGATATTAACTGTCTTTGAACATACCAAAAAAAATATATTGCAATTTATTTTTGATAATCATACTTTTAGCAATTCATGTTCAATACATTGTCAATTACGAAATTTATAAGTTGAATTGTTATGATGATGTTAAGCTGCAATCCTACATAAATGGGTAGTGTGAAGTTAAACTATCATGACATCAACAACTTGATGAAGCTTTACTAAATAATTCCTTAACACAAACAATGAAAAAAAGTTTTGAGGGCCAAACTCTAGCTGGAAATTCTGAAATAAGACAACTCTGTCACATGTATGCTAGACTATGAGATGTTTAGTTTTTGTTGGTTTTTTTTTTTTGTAAAAGGGGGGGGGGGGGGGAAATAGTAAGTTAATTTGCCTCTATAGGTTTATAGTGATGTGATGTATGAATGTGTATTGACATGTTTTATGAACATGTCGTATGAATTACATTTTCTAATGGAAATTTTATAGAATAAATAATCAAAACAACAACTTATGCATCTTTATTAACAACATATACAGTAAAAAAAAGAATGTGAACTCGTGATACACACAGAAACGTAGACAAAGGAAATGAGCAGTGCCTTTTCCTTTCATAAAAAAGTGCCCTGCCCTCCACTGGCACCCTGCCCCTTTTGATTTCTAGCTGGAGCACTGAGATTGGTTTGTCAGGCGGTGTGGGGTTCTCATGGGTACGTTTTGCCCACCTTTTGAAAGGTACATGTACATCATCATGATCATCATGCATTACTGCATCCAAATCATTGATGAAAGTTTTGTAATGAAATTGCTTGCTTTATCTATTAACCAATCCTATTTTAGCAAATTAACATAATGTGCTTGTTTTCAAACTATATTGTAATTGATCATAATAAAAAAGTACTCAAGTTTTTTTCTGGTCTGTTTCCAGAAATTTGTATGTGTCCTAATCATGGTTGGTTGGTAATAACCTCCACTATTTAGTGCCCTACTTTGAACTAGACAGGTACACTGAGTTAGAATTTTAACCTGCAAGCCCATAAGGTAACAGTTGACTGAAAGCAATCTCCCCATCCCAGACATGTTATATTGACCCCAACCAACCAGTCTTTGCTCTTTATACTGCAAAATGCTGCATTCTTGGTCAAGAAACTGAAAATACTAATTTTAAGGTTTTTAGTTTGACCAAGCTTTGGTTCAAAGGGTCTCACTAATTAGAGACAAGAAGCATCAAGAAGCGACAAGAAGCGTCAAGAAGCGACAAGAAGAATAAATTTAGCGACAAGAACCGACAAGAGGACTATTTAGCGACAAGAAAACTTTAAAAAAATATCATTAGAATAAATATATTAAAAAAAATATGCATTGACAGCAATAAAGAGATTTTCATTTTTTTTATTATATTGATAGATGAAGAAATTAATGAGTCAAGATAACATTTGGAGGTTTGCCTGTGATCTGAACAATTTCTTTCAAAGAATTAATATTGATGACAGCTTGCATATATCATCAGCAATATTTTGTTTGTTTAATAGGATAGGTACCTATGTATTCTGCTATTGCTTTCTTCATGGTTTCAAGAGAATGGCCAGGCATTTTTTTCGAACCAGCTGATTATTTTCTTGTAAGAATTACTTCTTTTCATAGAAGCATAATGACGCTTAAGGATGAACAAATTAGAATCATGGTTGGAGTAAATGACGTGTGTCCCTTATTGTATTGCTACAATAACATTCAATTAACACCTATAACTTTATACACGCGTCAGACTATACAACTACACGCGCCAGAATGATACAATAATTGTAAATAGTGAGCAACTGTTGAACACACAACATTGTCTTTAATTACCTTTAATCTTGAATCAACTTTAAACTATGCATAATCATCATACATATCGTTTGATAAGTCAATACCCAAATAAAATATTCACGTTTTAGTAACATTATCTTTTCTGGACAAAGAGAGTGTTAAAAAATTTATAAAATAAATATATTATTGTTCTAAAACACAAGAACATGTAAAAATTAATATCATACTATGACAGGGAAATTTCTATATTTATCAATATCTATCAATATATTTAAAAAAATGAAAATCACTTTACTTTCCGTATATTAAAATAAAAATGTCAATGCATATTTTTTTAATATATTTATTTTAATAGTATTTTTATTAAGTTTTCTTGTCGCTAAATAGTCTTCTTATCGCTTCTTGTCGCTAAATTTATTCTTCTTGTCGCTTCTTACGCTTCTTGTCGCTTCTTGTCGCTAAAATTCTTCTTGTCGCTAATTAGTGAGACCGGGTTCAAACCAATACCTTGCCACGTTTCAGACAAGCAAGCTACATATGTATGATAAGACCAACAGAAGCGGTCACAAGACTTCCAACATGTGTGATGGAAATCATGTTTTCCATCCCCTTCTATTATTTTGGAATGTGATAGATAGAGTTGACTATTGTTTGAGACAAGGTATTTTTGAAGTATTTACAGATTTTGGAAATAAAATATGTAGGTTTTGGTGCTTACATATGTACCTGAATCAAGTGTATGAAATAATGTTTGTGTAAAATGCAGATTCCAGGTGTGGACCCTCCTGAAATTTTCCATACTGTTTTTAGACTATAATAATGGATTCATTTGGTGGTCAAATCGAAAATTTACTCCTAACCCAGTATCCAAAAAGGGATTAGTCATTAAGATGAACTATAGGAGCAAGAACTTTGAACCCGTATCTCTTATAACTGTATAACCTGATTGGTTTAACGTTTTCTTTTCGTTCTTTAAGACTGAGAGGTTCGACTTTTAGAGCAGCGTTTAAAAGAACTCACAACTTACAACCTGTTTACCTGTAATGAGTATACCTTGAGGAATGCTAAAAAAAGGGGTATTTTCGGTTTCATAAGATGAGGCAAGAATGTGATGATGAAAGTGATCAGACTTAAATTACCTGCAGATAGAGTTGTACAGATAAAAGCTATCCATAAAAATATCAATATTCTCATGTTTCACAGCCTGTCATAATTGTTGTCTTCGATCAAACTCTTGTTTATTTGCGGAAATTGAACGGAAATTCGCGCTTAGATAAAGGGAGGTAATCATTATAAAACAAACCAAAACAACCCCGGATGAATCAGAATTTCCGTTTTCGCTAAAAGTTTTACATTTTTTAGCTCACCTGGATCAAAGTGAGCTTTTCTAATCACTTGGCGTCTGTCGTTGTTAACTTTTACAAAAATCTTCTCCTCTCAAACTACTGGACCAAATTTAACCATACTTGGCCACAATCTTCATTAGAGTATCTAGTTTAAAAAAAAAGTGTCAGATAACCCCGCCTGCTAACCAACATGGCCGACATGGCTAGAAATAGAAGATAGGGGTAAAAATGTTCAGAATAATGAGCTCTACCTATTGTTTATTTACATCAAACCTGTCAGACGACTTCTTAAAGGAGTTATTGCCCTTAAATGACGAATTTTACCATTTTTTCATATTTGCCTATTATCTTGAAACTTATTATAGATGAAGAGAAACTTTAAGTAACAAAAATTATCAACAAGACAAGATCTACAAATAAGTCAGCATGGTACGTTGAAATTGTCGGACGACTCCTTATTGAGATGTTGTCCTTTAAGGACGATTTTTATAGTTTTCTTGTTGTTTTTGGCTTATAGTTGAAAAACTGTAAAAGATAGATAGAAAGACATAAGACATAAGACATAAAGCTTTATTTAGAGTCGGTATGTGCAAATACAAGTATAAAACATAAGCTCTGAAGAGCTTTTAAAACCTAAATAAGCAAAAATGATCAGCAAGACAAGATCTACAACCAAGTTTAATAGTTGAAATTGTCTGACGATGCCTTATTGGAGTTATTGCTCTTTAATGACAATTTTTATCCTTTTTTTACATTTTTGCCTAATATCTGAAAAACTATAATAGATAGATAGAAATTTAAATATGCAAAAATGACCAGCAAGACAAGATCTACAAACAAGTTTAATGGCTGAAATCGTCAGCTCACTCCTTATTTGAGTTATTATCACCCATTTTGAGTGTTCTACCTTATATCTTGAAAACTATTGCAGATAGATAGCCACTTTAAAAAGCAAACAAATATCAGCATGACAAGGTCTTCAAATAAGTCAAGACAGCCGAAATCGTCAGTCAACTCTTAATTGGAGTTCTTACTCTTAAAGGATGATTTTTACCAATATTTTACGCTTTTGGCTATAATCTTTAAAACTATAAAGGATAGACACTTTAAATAAAAAACAATGATCAGCAAGATAAGATATACAAGTAAGTAAAATTTTGCCAAAATCGTTAGTAGACTCTAATAGGAGTGATTGCCCTTAAATGACAATTTTTTTTAACCCGTTTTTGTAATTTAGGAAACAAACTAAAGAAGATAGAGAGAAACTGTAAACAGAAAACATGATCAGCAATACAAGATCAACAAAAAAGAGATTTTTGTCATGAATTCTAATCTAGTCCACAATGTTGGAGAGTGTCCATTGTTGAAGATGCACATAGACCTAGGTGAGCGACACAGGCTCTTAAGAGCCTCTAGTTTTTAAAGCAACTATATTTTCGTCGAATGTTCTTTTCAGTACTTTTTATTGGTTTCAATCCAATCCTCTTTAAAACCTCTCCTGGCATCATAGGCCATTGGTTGTCGTTATCGTCATTGTCCGACTACTGCACCAATTTCAACCAAACTTGGCCCGTTTGATCCTTAGAGTATCTTGCATAACGTTTGTGTGTTTTGTTCTTTATAAAGATAAGGAGATGTGATACGTTTGTCAATTAGACAAACGAACGGAAGATACATGTATAAGCAATTATAGGTCATCGACCTTCAACAATGAAAAATCCCATACCATCACATGATAGTCCCGCGCTGTAAAAGGCTGGGGCCGACATGAAAAATGTAAAACAATTCAAACGGGAAAACTTACGACCTAATTTATTACAATACAATTTTAATTACGAAAAACAAATATGATAGTCATGAACCGAATGGCAAACTGAATTACAGGCTCATTGACTTGGGATGGACACATAAGGAATGCGGCGGGGTTAAACATATGTGTGAGTGCTTAAACCTTCCCCTAACATAGGACAGTGGTATAACCAGCACGACATAAGAACAAACTTTTAAAAAAATAGTTGAAAATATCTAAACTCAATAGATTGCTACGAAGTACAAAAAAAAGTAACATAAAAACATAAGACACAAAACATAGATTGAAGAGTTCTCACGGCTACTGAAAGATAGTTCGAAGCCAATTACAACTAATGAATACATCATGTTATCACAGACTAACGTATCAATTATTACACATCCAACGGATTTAGTGTAAATAAGTCATAAGCAGTCTGAGAGACGCACGACCTTGTGCAATATCAAAATTTAAGTAAACAATATCAGCGACAGGATCATGAGTACTATAAATGTACATATATATCAATATATATATATATTGTTATTTTTTAATTTTTCAGAGACAAAACCAATGCTAGTACCGATAAAATCAATATTCAACAATTTTACCCAGTACGGTGTTAAATTGATAACCTTTAAGATTAAGTTTTTACAAAGAATCAATGATCTTACATGAGTCGTATCTAAATTTACGGGCTCTATAAACAATATCACCATAAAAATTAGGACGTAATATCCCGTTTTAAAAAGAATTCTATAGGTAGAGTCAAATAAGATTTATTATTCTTAAATGGCGATTTTATTGAGCTATTTTCCTGCTATGGCGTATTATCTAGTATTATTATTGGTACTAGTAGTTCCAACAAGAGACTTATATTAAAATTTGTTATCTAGTAGGTCTAACCTGAGATTACTATAACTATTGGTATTAGTATTAAATCTGAGACAACTATTGCTATGGGTACTAGTAGGTCCAGCCTGTGAATAGTATTTGTATTGGGAATTTAGTAGGTCCGAGCAGCGACTACTATTACTATTGGTACTAGTGGGTAAAATCTGGTACTACTATCACAATTGGTACTAGTAGATCCAAGCTGAACTATTAGTACTATTGGTTCTAGTGGATCCAAGCTGAGACTACTATTACTATTGGTACTAGTAGATCCAAGCTGAGACTACCATTACTATCGGTAATTTAGAAGGTCCAACCCGAGACTAATTTTTCTATTGGTACTAGTAGATCCAAGCTGAGACTACCATTACTATCAATAATTTAGTAGGTCCAAGCTGAGACTACTATTAATATTGGTACTAGTAAATCCAAGTTAAGACTACTATTACTATCGGTAATTTAGTACGTCCAAATCGAGACTAATTTTACTATTGGTAATAGTAGATCCAGACTGAGACTATCATTACTATCGGTAATTTAGTAGGTCCAAGCTGAGACTACTTTTACTATTGCCGTATTGGTACTAGTAGATCCAATCTGAAACTACTGTTACTATTGGTTCAAGTAGATCCAATCTGAAACTACTATTACTATTACTATCTGTAAATAAGTCGGTCCAAGTTGAGATTACTTTTTCTATTGGTACGTTAGTAGGTCCATGCTGCGACTTCTATTACTATTGATACTACTGGGTAAAAGCTAATACTACTATCACTATTTGTTCTAGTTTGTCCAATCTGATACAACTATTACTATTGGTTCTAGTAGATCCAAGCTGAGACTACTATTATTATCGGTAATTTAGTAGGTCCAAGCTGAGACTGATATTACTATTGGTACTAGTAGATCCAAGCTGAGACTACCATTACTATCGGTAATTTAGTAGGTCCAAGCTGAGACTACTTTTACTATTGGTACTAGTATATCCAAGCTGAGACTACTATTACTATTTGTTCTAGTAGATCCAAGATGAGACTACTATTAATATTGGTATTAGAAGGTCCAAGTTGCGACTACTTTTTTCTATTGGTAATTAAGTAGTTCCAAGCTGCGACTACTATTACTATGTATACTATTGGGTAAAAACTGATACTGCTATCACTATTGGTTCTAGTTTGTCCAACCTGATACAACTATCACTTTTGGTTCAGTAGATCCAAGCTGAGACTACTATTACTATCGGTAATTTAGTAGGTCCAAGCTGAAACTACTATTACTATTGGTACTAGAAGATCCAACCTGAGATTACTATTAATATTGGTACTAGTAGGTACAAGCTGGGACTACTATTACTTTTGGTACTAGAAGGTACAAGCTGGTACTACTACCACTATTGGTATTACTTGTAGACCCAAGCTAAGACTACTATGACTATTAATCCAAGTCTTGTAGATCCAAGGTGAGACTATTATTACTATTGGTACTAGTAGGTCCAAGCTGAGACTACCATTACTTTCTGTAATTTAGTAGGTCCAAGCTAAGACTACTTTTACTATTGGTAATTTAGTAGGTCCAAGCTTAGAATACTTTCTATTGGTAATAGCAGGTCCATGCTGACGATCAACGGGAAGATAATTCCAACGGAACCCAAAATTCTTACTAAAGTGAAGCGTTGCGTTGTCTTTCAGATACAAATAAATTTCTTTTGATGTCCGTCGATGTAAAATGTTAAAAGAATGTGAAAAGGGGACAACATTTCAACATAAAGTGTCCCCAGCAGCAATATTAAGGGCCGGATAACATTTCTATTTTTGAAATATGTGTAAATTGAAGACAGTTTTAGTTATACTGATACATATATTAATTCCCTCAGCACACTATACAACGAATATGGAAACTACTGAGTGATCTATCATTCTATGTAATCTTATACTACATTTCAGTTTCGCTAAGCCGTTCCATCCCCCATCCGAAATTTACTTTGTGGATGAAACAAACAAGGGAAAAGGGACAATAACTCCTTTGTAATAATTTAGTAATAGTATCAACAACACAATACCACACTATTAAATTTGTTTCTTCAAAACCGTTGGAAACCCGCTACATCTAAAACATAATTAAAATATACGACAGATGAATTTCAATACTGGTATTTTCATTTAAAAAGTATATCAATTTAAATATCTTCATTCTTCCTTGGGGTTATTCTAATGTTTATCTTGTTTTCCTAATTTCAATATGCCTT